TAGTCCTGAGAGAGGCAGCCCACAGCGATCAGGGACTTTATGCCAATAAACTCTCCTATAGCTTCACTTACGAGACCGTTCATCTGATAGTTTCAGGTAAAACAGATGTTTCTGTTTTGCAAATTTATTCCTAATATTTTTCACTCAGTCCTAGAGAAAAAATGAGTAAAATCCAAAGTATTTTTTTAAAGTACAAAAAGATGTTTATTAGCTCCGCTTTGCAATCGACTTCATTAAAAGGTAAACAAATCTTAACTAGACTAACTGCATTTACTGCCAAAATGCAGTGTGAAGGCTTATTGCTGAAGAACTTGCTGAAAATGTCAGAAATTAGCTAAAAACATGCTGAAATGTAGCTGAAATGGAAGAGCAAGACTAAATTAGCAGAAGAAAGCAGAAATAACACATATTTGCTGAATAAGCAGAAATGAGCACAAAAAATTGTAAATTAGCTAAAAAAAAATTAGCTAAAAAAGCTGAAATCAATAAAAAATAGTTGAAAAGTAGCTTAAGAGGCAGAAAGAAACTTACATTACCAGAAGGAAGTGAAGAGAGCACAAATGTGCCCTGAAAGAAGCAGAAATTAGCACCAAAAAGTGGAAATTATCTGAAAAATGTTCAACAAAGAATAGCTGAATAGTAGCTAAAAAGCAGAAATGAGCTTAAATTACCAGAAAATGATGTGAAGAGAATGTGGTTGTGCTCAGATAGGCTGAAAGAAGCAGAAATGAGCAAAAAAAGTGGAAATTATCTGAAAAAAGCAGAAATGTGCAAAGTAAAAAAAAAAACCACAGCTGAATAGTAGCTAAAAAAAGCTGAAAGAAGCTAAAATTACCAGAAGCGAGTGGAGAGAGCACATTTTTGCTGAATTAGGTTGAAAATGTTTAAGTGGGTGCAAAAAATGTGGAATTAGCTGAAAAATCTCATATTAGCAGAAAACAGCTAAATAGTAGCTGAAATAGCAGAAATAGTTGAAACTTGCATACATAAGCTGAAAGGAGCATAACAAGCTGAAATTAGCAGAAAGAAATTAGCAGCACAAAACGGTTGTAGTTAGCAGAATACATAAGAAAGGAGCACAAAACAGCTTAAAAAACAGCTAAAAGTAGCTGGATTTTTATTTTCACAAGGAAGCTGAAAGAAGCTGAACCAGAACAAAATGTGAAAGGAGCAGTAAAAGGTTGTAAACAGATCTGAAGATTTGAAGGATGTAAAATGAGCTCAGTTCATTTTCTGTGAGGAAAAAAATGGCAGAAAAGGCTAAATATTTCAAAAAGCTAAAGTTGCACCAATACCAGAAGTCGTAGCAGGATTGTCCTGAAAGAGCTGAACGTTTTGATTTATGATTTGTTGAAATGGCACAAAACAAAGTCAGAGTCCGAGTTTCTTTATTTGTCATACGCACCACATGTGGTACATGTGGTGGAACGAATCTGTGTGCACAGGGAAAGATGCTGAAAAACATATGGAAGAAAAATGGATCCCAATAGTGTGAATGCTTCAGTAACTTTCGGCCTCATCTCCCGTGTTTCCATCAGAGTGCATCAAGCCTTACCGTAAAAACTACGGCGAGAGCTTTGAACATGGCATTCCTGAAAATGCTTCCCTGCTGGAGTTTTCTCCTCGAGGCGCCCCGCCCGAGGCCATGCCCATCGTTCTGTGGAACCGAACTAACCCTGAAACGAGCGACGTGGGTCGGGGGCGGCTGCTGCGAGGGGGGAAGGCCTGGGTGGCAGAGAGAGTCACCCAAGCTGACCAAGGCAGCTACACCGTAATGGACGTGGACAGGAACGTGCTGTCTCGGAGCACCCTCTCTGTTCGTGGTGAGAGCCTTAAGAGGCAGGCAGTTAGTTTTAATAACTACAGAATGACACTTATGTTTCATCCTTCTGTTTTTATCTGTCACTCTCTCACACCTTCACATTCCCTTCATCGTTCACCTCACTTTTTACTCCTGCTAACACAGGTCACTCCTTTAATATCACACGTTTCACCAAGGAGTCTGTAGCCCTTCCTTTATTCCTCCCCCTCCATCATGCTCATCTCATTTTTACCCCTAGCCGAATCCCAGATGAATCCTCTCTGGGCCCGTTTGACCCCAGACCCCCCCGTGGCCCCGTGCAGCTGCTTCGGGAGGGCCATATAATGGACTACGACCTGCGCTACAGAGGAATCCTCTCTCTGAGCAGGAACGGGTCCATCTACGAGGTCGTTATCATAAGGCTCACGTCGAGACACGACGGGCTGTACGAGGTCCGAGATGGGGACGGAAACCTGGTTTCCTCCACCTACCTGCATATGATCGGTGAGCCGCAGCACGGGTTTGAATTTACCTGAATCTCGAGCTTAATTAACCCGTTCTCCTAATTTTTATCCCTTTTGTCCGTTAAATGTTTCCAGAAAAAAAGGGGGGCACTTGGCGAGCGCTTTTCAAGTCCATTTCCGTCCCGTCTGGTATGTTTGTGTCTCTGGCTGGTTTCATCTTGTTCATGAAGCGCTACCCAAACTGCAGCCTCACGCAGATCATCACCGGCATCAGGACGAACCGCACGCCACCGGCCAACCCTCCACGGGTCAACATCCAGGTGAACTGACCTTGTGATGCGACAATAATTGATTTTTGAGCGATCTTGAGCAAAGCGGTTTCGCCCACACGAAACTGCAAAACATCCACAGTTTAAAATTATACAAATCTTTAGAAAGCTGATGCACATCTAAGTTGGCTACAAGTCGCCACCTGTAAGTGCTGATCAACAGAGTTCAAAAGATTCATTTCAAACATGCTGGTTTTGAAGTGCATCGTGCAACTGTGAAGACCAGTGGTATTCATGTGGGTACCACTGTACAATAAGGCTCCCCTTATAGATGGCTAATAACCAGTTTATAGAGAAGTTATTAGATCCTTTATACACACTTTATAAATTATTAATACCTGCTTATTATGCATTAATTAAAGGTGACAGAGACAAAACTGACCAGTTTCTTGCCAAATAGTGAGTCAAATCTGTTCACCCATTTCATCTAGAGTTGTTATATCAAACATTTCAGACTAAGTTACTACCTTGTAAAAATAATAAGCATTTGTAAATCTATTTTTTTTTTAGGATATATTAGTTGTAGATACTTATAATGCAGTGATAAAGTACAATATTATATGCTAAAGAAATATGTTATTGTTCTTACAAGGTAGTAACTTAGTCTGAAATGTTTAATATAACAATACTAGATTAAATGTATAGGTGAGCAGATTTGACTCACTATTTGACAAGAAACCGGTCAGTTTTGTCTCTGTCACCCTTAATTAATGCATAATAAGCAGTTATTAATGATTTATAAAGTGTTTATAGAGGAATTAATAACATATCTATAAACTATTTATAGCCATCTGTAAGGGGAGCCTTATTGTAAAGTGGTACCTTATTTTGTTTTAGGCAAATATCGTTTTGCCAGTATCAAAAGAAATCACTTTAAAGGGATAGTCTGGAAATTTTGTTATCAGGCTTTCACAGAGTATGGAGAGAAAAAGGGCAGGAGTCTTCATCCAGGCTAAACTAAACGAAGGCCCATAACGGAGAACGATAACAGCACTTCTGGGAACAGCTTGCATGAACCATGAATCGTGTGAAAACGTGGATATCTTTGTGTTTTTGGTTTTGCAGACGTACACTCAGTCCCATCCACACCCTCCAGCCTACTACAGCCACCCCGAGCAGCCTGCAACTCCAAGGAAATGGACTCCAAGAGCCAGTCCTGCTCACTCTGTAAAGCTCACTTACTGGTTGAAAGGAGTTCAAGCTGTGTAATGGAGTGAAAGTTAAAGTAAATGTTCTGTTTGTATTTCCAGGACTACTCTCCTGTTATGATGGGGACTCCAAGAGCTGAGAACCAGGAGCTGCAAAGGCTCACAGCTGATAGTTCCCCTCGTCATAATTCAGCCACTGAGGTAAAACGATATTGATGCTGAGTCACATGTTTGCAGACTAAAGTGGGATTTAAAAGCATCTTGTTGTTCCTTCCCAGCAGAACAAATCTAATGAGGACGATGATATTTCCTTTTCTGTTCCGGGAGCTTCCGATTGCCTCCACTCCTCCTCAGATTGCATTCAGTTCCAGATCAAGAAAGATGGAGATGACGACAGGTGGAGCCAATCAAAAAACTTTTTTTCTACGCTGCCACTTGACACGGACACTTCTGAATCCTGCAGCGTCTACACTTCACAGAAACTGGACTTTTTATAAAATAAAGACTGGAATGGCGTAAAAGAAATAAACAAAAGGCATAGAGGAGTTGGAGGGTTTTAAGATGACACTATGGAAATGGACAACAGTTTGCACAGTTATAATTCTTTGGTTTGTTTTCTGGATCATGAGTTGAACGTTAAACTTCATGTCTCTCGTTGCACTGGATAATGGTGCTCATGAAATCTCCTGCTGTTACCTACCTCCAGACCCTCAGGACCAATGTGATCTGCACTGTATTTGATGGGTGTCTCCATGTTTATTAGTGTTATGTGATCTCTAGGGCTACATAAACATCAGGGTGGTGGTACTGAAGTTGGCAAAAGAGAACCATTAAATACTGCATGTCATAACTGCATAAATTGAAATGCTTACCCATCAAGTGGACCATTCCTAACGGCTGCAAAAAGTCATTATAAATGTCTGTTCTGCAGTTTAAGTATTTTTGCAAGTGTAGTGTATTTACCCTGTAGACAATTGTAAAAATGTGACAAGTATCTACAAAAATAGCAATAGCCTGTTAAACTTTAAACTGTGTAACACTTATATTACTAACTTTATCAAATAAAAGATACAGAAAGGTAATCTCTAATACAATAAAATGTATCTAACACACATCTTAAAATATTTTTGTTGATTTTGTGTGTGGGGGAAACTGTTCTTAGGATCTCCCATATTTTCGCTGTGCAGTTAGTATTTCTACCAGCAGGGGGCAGTGATGGACAGACGAGTTTTTCGTGATGCAGGAAATCGGCAAAGAAGAAAACGGAAGCAGTTCCTTTTATAGCGGCAATGAAAGAACAGCGTGCTGCTTCCAAATAGCAAAATATAAGTGTACAAAAGTAGGAACAAATCATAAGGTGCCGAGTAAGCATAATTCACTTTTAGGAGGAGACTATTAGGACCACATTGGGAAGATGTCTTTGGTTTGTGCGAGTAAGTAGAGCTGATTTCACTGCAAAGACGGATCCTCTTACGTTAGCTTGGCACAATGCTACAAGCTAATGTTGCTAACGTTAGCGGCCACAGAAACCGCCTTCTGCCTCCGAGAGTTTTACTCGGGGCTTTTTTTTAGCGGTATATATGATATTATCTGGGTTGTAAGCGGTAGCTGCATTTGTTTTTATTCGTTTCAGTCTGCAACGAGGTCCCGGAGCACCCGTGCATCTCCCCGGTGTCCAATCATGTGTTCGAGCGGAGGCTGATCGAGAAGTACATCGCGGAGAACGGGACGGACCCGATGAACGGACAGCCGCTGTCCGAAGAGCAGCTGGTGGACATTAAAGGTAAATTAAACTCCCAGTTTGACCCACTGGAAGGAATGTTTAGTCTCTAAGTGAGGTTTTGGAGTACCGAGAATAAACCCTGCAAATGTGACTGTAGCTCGTTCTGATCAACCTGAACGTGATTCATTGTTTACTTTCACTTTAAAAAAGAGGCAGCTTTAACAGTCCTGTTAATCTCTTTACTACTTCCCTGTTAAGTTATTGCATGATTTATTTTTATTTCTTTTATGCATTTTTAGTATAAACTGCTGTAGCTAATGATACATTATTTGGAAAGCAAGTGGCAGATATATTTTCCCACTGAAGTAAATGTGTTTAGTTAGAAATAAATACTAAGATTACTAAACTATACCGTATATTCAAACCTATATGTTTCATCAGTCTGAGGAGCTGCAACAAACTCAGTCTTGTAAATAGCACTTTCCCATAGTGGGTCCATCAGTTTGATGGTGCTCAGATTGTTTCTGGAGGCCTTCTCCCCCGCCTACGAGTCGGCCTGGCCTTGCAAACAAGACTGACAGCACGACAACAGTCCAGGCTTGTTTGTTTTTGAGCTTTCTGGGAGGGAGAAAGAAAAACATCAGCAGAAATACAAAAAAGTTAAGTCAGGTCCTCTAGACAGGTAAAAAAAAAATAATAATTTGTCGAAACGTCTCGTCCTTCATCCGAAAGACTTCTTCAGTCTGAGGTGCTGTATTCAGCTCAGTCTTATAAATAGCACCTTCTCAGAGTGGATCAACCAGTTTGTTGTTGACATTCAAAACCAGCTGTTCACATGATCAAGATTGTTGATCAGCCTAACAATGGATCATTAGCACACTGATGGCTGTTTACTATTCACAGGGGGCTGAGTGATACTAGCAATCACAGCATTGTAAGAGGGGGACAATTGAACATGGAGGCCTCCACCCCTGTTTAATGATGGACAAAACTAATAACAAAATCTTTTCACAAAGATGGCCTCCTTTACTCCTCTCTCAAACCATTGTTCTTCTCTATCAAGGATGTGAACATCTTCATCCCTGAAAGAGTGACCGCTGGTCTGGAGACGAGTGTAGACCGCAGAGTCCTGGCCTGTGCTGGGCCATCCTTTTGGCCAGTGGCTGTTTAGTTTCCCCAAACTAAACAGGTTTAGTTTGCTTCCTTGCTTTCCAAATAATGTATCATTAGCTACAGCAGTTTATACTAACTAGATGGGTTTTTTGAACCCGTCCAAAGGACCTGACTTAACTTTTTTGTATTTTTCTACCTGTATTATTGAGCATGCATCAGGTCATCAGCAGAAATATTTTGTTGACACTGATTTATTTTAGAAATTTAATTTTATTGAGTAACCAGCTAACTGGTTCATTTATGATCAAGAGGGAGTTTCTCCTATTATCTTTAATAAGTGCAAGAAGTATGTTGAATAACGAACACATCTTGGGTTAGGGACAACGTGTAGGGAGGTTGAACACAAATCAAACGTTGGAATTTATTTATTATAAATTTTGTTTGTTTTTATTTTAGTGACACATCCTATTAGACCAAAGGCTCCGTCCGCTACAAGCATCCCTGCCATTCTCAAGTCTCTTCAAGATGAGTGGGTAAGTACTGAAACACACAAGAGGTGGTACATCTAAAACAACTAAATGCCGTATATTCTGGTTCAAACTTGCTAATATCCTGGACACTTGTACCTGGAGCAGACCTGTTCTTTTGAACTGGTTTGTATACAACAACCACAGTTAGGAAAAAGATGTCTGGTCAAAAGTTTCAAATGTGTCGCACTCAACTTGCTTTTTGAAGTAATTTCATGACTTTAGCAGAACCAAAAAAACCTGCACTCTTTTTTTAAATTGTTTTTATTTTTGTAATATAATTTTTTTTTTTAGTTTCAAGAAAATGTGGTCACTTTTTTTCTTGTTGTGTGCTAGGATGCTGTCATGCTTCATAGCTTCACCTTGCGGCAGCAGCTCCAGACAACTCGCCAAGAACTCTCACACGCCCTTTATCAACATGATGCCGCCTGCAGAGTCATCGCTCGACTCAACAAGGAGGTCACTGCTGCCAGAGAAGGTTTGTGTGTCCTCCACTGACATTCATCTATATTTATATCAATGTATATTTACTCCACATCAGCTCATGCATAATCTTATCTGGATGATTTTTGCATCTTTTTACAGCTCTTGCAACACTTAAACCTCAAGCTGGACTGGTGACCCCTCAAGCAATCCCCACATCTCAGCAAGCTGCAGCAGTGAGTTAATGACTTGTAGTTTATTAAATCATTCATCACATGTGCCGTTTGCCTTTAGCCAAGTCTAATTGTCTGAAATATTGTATGTCAGGGTGCTGGTGGAGAGCCTATGGAGATCAGTGAACAGGTGGGAATGACTCCAGAGATCATTCAGAAGGTACGATCCGTTTCTGTTGCCTACAGATTTTTATTATTATATCATTAATTATTTCTATAGCCTGTCTAATTTGCTTACTTGTGTATTTTTATGTACAGCTCCAAGACAAGGCTACTATCCTCACCACAGAGAGAAAAAGGGTATTCTTGTCTCTTTTTACAGCCATTTTCTGTTAACTCCATCTTGTGTATGCACTGAGTAAACTCACTAACCATTGTGATGATGTATAATTTATACTTGTATTTCTTTAGAGAGGAAAAACTGTTCCAGAGGAGCTGGTCAGAGCTGAGGATCTCAGCAAATATCGCCAAGTGGCCTCACACGCTGTAAGTGGGAACTTTGCGGAATCAGGGGTGAAACTGTTCAGATAATGTATTTGATGCAAATAGTTTCACTTTTCTGATTTATTTTTCTTCAGGGTCTTCATAGTGCCAGTGTTCCTGGCATTCTGGCTCTGGATGTGTGTCCCTCAGACACCAACAAAGTGCTCACAGGTAGAGTGAGCCTTTCAGTTCATGTTTCTTTCATTGCAGTGTCACATTCTGAGAAAAATCAGACGTTGACGTCCCTGTTTTCTTCCAGGTGGAGCTGATAAGAACGTGGTGGTGTTTGACAAGAGCGAGGAGCAGATTGTGGTGACTCTTAAAGGTCATACCAAAAAGGTCACCTCTGTCATTTTCCATCCGTCTCAGGTGACATTTCCTGTTTTTCTTGTTCTATTCATTGACAAGAATCCAAATCTTCACATAGATCCATTAAAGAGTAAATGTGCCAAATACGATTTGTATTTAAATCCATTGTTTTTGTTGCTCTTAACTTTTTTTTTTCCTTCTCTAGTCGATGGTCTTCTCTGCCTCTCCTGACGCCACCATCCGTGTGTGGTCTGTTACTGGTGGCAACTGCGTACAGGTGGTGCGTGCCCACGAGGCAGGTGTCACTGGACTCTCTCTGCACGCCACTGGAGACTACCTGCTCAGCTCCTCTGAGGATCAGGTGTGCTTGCAGCTTAAATCACTAAACTAATGATCAAAATCTCGTGTTAAACTGCTTCGTCTTACTGACTTTGTTGCATCGTTCTGCAGTACTGGGCCTTCTCTGACATCCAAACTGGTAGAGTTCTCACCAAAGTTACTGATGAGAGTGCTGGCTGTGGTAAGAGCATCAGTATTTGCTTTAGCAACTGACCACTTGCCTAATGCCTTCTGTCGCCTAATAATGGTTCTGTTTGGGCTCCGTAGCGCTCACGTGCGCGCAGTTCCACCCTGATGGTCTCATTTTTGGCACTGGCACGGCCGACTCCCAGATTAAAATTTGGGATCTGAAAGAGCGCACCAACGTGGCTAACTTCCCCGGCCACTCTGGACCCGTCACCTCCATTGCTTTCTCTGAGAACGGATACTACCTGGCCACAGGTGAGGAGTGCAGGCTGTATTCTTCACATTACAGATGTTTATCTTTGATGCGCATATGCCTGTGAAGTTGGAGGACAATATATATTATACATCACATTCATCTGACCGCTGTTAATTTAAATTTTTATGGTTCCGTATTTATATTCAGTTGTGGACAAACTTTAATTGCTAACATCTGTGCTGTTATTTTTTTCAGGTGCTCAGGATAGCTCTGTGAAACTGTGGGATCTGAGGAAACTGAAGAACTTCAAGACCATCACTCTGGACAACAACTATGAGGTAATAAATTCTCATTATTCTCCTGGTTGCGGGAAAGAAACCGTTCAGTTGTACAAATAAATGAGTTGTCATTAATGTGATGCTTGAGCCAGCAGCCTGTGTAAAGCCTGGCCTGAACTACATCGTTCTGGTCGTGAGAGCAGAAGTGTGCTAACACTGTTTAATGCATGTTCATGTGGCGCACTGAGTAGGAGGATCTGTTGTTAGCAGATACAAGTACTAGCTATCAGTGAAAGCTTTTTTAGAGGATGTTTTGAAAACCTGGGGAATATGGGGAAATTTTAAGGGTTTTACTCGTTCATCTGCAACAATAAACAAGCAATTATTGTGATTATCTGTTATTATCTAGATTTACAAATGGCACTATCCTGTCTGAATTTCAAGTCAAAAGTCAGTCACTTTATTGTCAAAAACTGCAATATGTACAGAACGTACACAGGATTGAAATTACATTACTCTCAGACCCCGAGAGTTTGCACACATAGTACAAAATGTGCTGCAAATAAGGGTACAGAATGAAGTGTCTTAAATCGGACAGTGTAACACTGAACTTTACTTGTAATCTAAAGGTTAATGAGTTGACAAGTAAATTGGTATATTAGGAGCAAGCCAGCTTTTTCTCGCTGCTTCCTGTTTTTATTTCTCGCTGAATGCTTTAAGATTTGTAGCTCTGAGCTACAAAGTACCATATTTTTCGGACTATAAGGCGCATTAAGCGAAACAAAACAGTCGGATAAGTCAAACTTTATTCAACTCATTCACAATAACCACATCAAATCGGTTTGAGGTCAGTAAGCACAAACAGAATTAATACATGAGGTGCACCGGATTATAAGGCTCACTGTCAATTTTTGAGAAAATTAAAGGATTTTAAGTGCGCCTTATAGTCTGAAAAATACGATACAGGCACAATTAATGTGATTCCCCTTAGATCTCATGTTACTGTTTGTGTTTCAGGTGAAGTCCCTTGTGTTTGATCAGAGTGGTACCTACCTGGCTGTCGGAGGGTCTGACATTCGTGTGTACATCTGCAAGCAATGGTCTGAGGTTCTCAACTTTACAGGTGAGGTGAAAAAAAATCCCCTTCACTGACCGTGCATCATCTATGAGACCATAATCTCTATTTTTTATGTTGTAGACCATACAGGATTGGTGACTGGAGTGGCCTTCGGAGAAAATGCTAAGTTCCTGACCTCTGCAGGAATGGACAGAAGTCTCCGATTTTACAGTTTGTAGAAGAGCAGGAATTCAACGGTGAAAGTAGGAGGCTGGATCGGTCTGTTTGAGCAATCGCTTTCCTGTGTGATTTTAGAAAACAAACAAAATCATTTACTGTTTTTGTTGTGTTGGTCATTACCAGGAAAGAGATCACATAAAAACATCTGCATTTTTTTTTAACCTCAGCAGTATGGTAAGTGTAACATTTATTGGCTTTGTGAGTTTAAAATCTAAATGATGTGGAAGTGAAAACAAAAGCCAGTATAAAATTCCTGTCCTGTTGCCAGCAGTTTCAATTTGTAGTTTTATTTTTGTTTTTATTTTTTTTTATTGTGTGTGGGGGAGCTTCAGTTTCTTGTGATATATCTGCAGTGTATTCTGTTAAAAAACTTCTACAATGATGATCTACTTTGCTTCTTAATGTAGACCAGCTTCATGACTGTTGTTTCTAGGTTCAAAAGAGGGAAAACATTTAGTGATCTACAATAACGTAAAAGATGAACGGGTGTAGTAGATGCATTTGCTTCTGGTGGAAAAAACTTGTCTCATTTAACCTTTTAGATTCATTTCTCATTTTATTTGTTCCATTTGAAGATTTTTTTTTTTCCTCTATTGTAAATTTGTCATTACGCACCTCTGCCTTTGATGATAAAAATAAAATATCTTTTACAAATTATTCCAAAAATTCCAATGTATCATGTTTATCAGGTGTTAACATGGGCCACTTGAAACCACTGCAGCTGCTACAGGCTAGTTTCGTCATAGCAAGTAGCTTCAGCATTGAATAATGGAAATTAAATAGGTTTGCTTTTCAAGTGTATACATTATTACAGTTTAAATTAATGATTAAATGTGATTTAGTTCACTCATGTAAGAATGGGTCCTGCATTCTCATTCATTAAACCTTTATTTATACACGTGGTCTCTCCTGGGGACTCATTTACCAGAGAGACCTGTTTTTAACAAAGTGATGACAGTAGACGATCATAAAAGAAGCATACCAATTGAGAAGAACAAATGAACGACAATGGTATTAAAAAACAAAAAGACCAGCTAGATTGTAAAGCGATGTAGAATACTAAAAGAGGAACATGTCTCCTTTAAAGTTCAGGGTTTGATAGGTTTAGGCAATAGTTTTGTTAGAAAGTTATCTTTGCATCTAAAAATCATGTATAGTTTCAAATCTCTTTCATTAAAATGCTAGGTCATAATTATGAGAGATGATTTTGAGATTCTAAGTCAGGGGTGTCAAACTCACTTACAAAAGGGGGGCCACAGTTAAAACCTTTTTCAAACTAAGGGCCAGTTTCAGAATCTGCATTAACTCATGTTAGATACACAACATCTTTTCTTGTCACAGGTTCCTCAACAAGAGTTTGATTGGTCTCATTTGATGTTTTCTGTTGCACGTTTGACATCATCATCAAAGACTACTGAAAAAAGTTAAAGTGATAAAAGTAGTATTCTTGGGAGCCAGATAAGATGTCATTATGTCATTGAGGGCCACATTTGGCCCCCGGGCCTTGAGTTTGACACGCATGTTCTAAGTCATAATTTTTAGACCGTATAAAATATGGAGGAAAAAAAATTGGTAGAAATGAGTTTCTAGTTTTATTGACCTTTTTTTTTTAGCTTTGCAAGTTAAATCAATTTCAATTGAGTTTATTTACATAGCGCCAAGTCGTAACAGGAGTTGTCTCAAGGCACTGTACAAAAACATTCTCACACAAAAAAGGCCAATTTATTAAAAATGATATATATCTAAAGAAGCCAGCAGATTGTGTTGAATCTGCAGTCTCCCATCCTGAGCAAGCACAAAGGCAACAGTGGAAAGAAAAAACTCCCTTTGAACAGGAAACAAACTGCCAGCAGAACCAGGCTCAGGACAAGTGGACATTGCTTTGACCAGCTGGGTTTGAGAGGACGGGAAGAAACAAACAGAATGGTGGGTCCATGTGTACTTTCTGTCAGGGGAAAGGCAAAAAAACATGTTAAGAACAGAAATAATTACAAATAAAACAGAGTAGAGCAAGTAAAGAACAGCAGAGTGAGGAAATGTGGTCGTTTTGTACTCAAGCAGTCTATTAGCATCATAACTAAGGGATAGATTAGGAAACCCATGCCGAACTGTACAGGATTTATCATAAATGAAAGACTTCAGCCTATAGTCTTAAAAGTAGACGGTGTCGGCCTCATGGACAGAAACTGGAAGTTGGTTCCACAACTGAAAGCTCATGCCTCCCATTCTACTTTTGGAAACTAGGAACCACAAGTAAATCTGCAGTCTTGACAGTGAAGTGCTCTGTTAGGAAAGTAAGGAACAATGTGTAATATATGATGGAGCTAGGTTGTTGAGAGCTTTGTATGTTAGAAGATTTTAAATTCTCTTCTGAATTTGACACGGAGCCAATGGAGAGAAGCTAAAACTGGATCTCTCTCCAACTGGCAGCAGCATTATGGATCAACTGAAGACTTTTTAAAGAAGTTTTTGGACACCCAGTTAATAAACAATTGCAATAATTTAACCTTAGACGTGATAAATGCATGGACCAGTTTTTCTGCATTATTTATGGATCAGATGTTTCTACTTTTAGTGATACTGCAGGTGGAGGAAAAGCAGTTTAATGTGGGGGTTACAAGACATATCCTGATTTAAAGCAACATCAAGGTTTTTACATTAGAACTGGAGACCAAATTAATGCCATTCAGAGGAAGTGAAAGGCTGCAAAGTTTATTCCTAAATTAGGTCCAGAAACAACAACTATGTCTTGTCCAAGTTTAAAAGCAGAAAATTAAGACTCATCCAGATTTTTACATTGAAGACATGCTTGTAATCTAAGTAACAGATTGGATTCATAGGGTTTCATGGACAAATAAACTATCAGCAATGTATCCCATATGTAATAAGTACTTAATGGAAGAATATATAAAGTAAAGTGTACTGGTCCAAGCACTGAACCCCTGATGAACTCTATGACCAACTTTGGTCCACAAAGATTCATTACCGGTATTTATATTTTCTAACTGGAATATATCAAATAAATATGAATTAAACCATTTTAGAGCCGTTAATCCCAACATCATATTCAAGCTTCTGTAGTAAAATATTGTGATCAACTGTATCAAATGCAGCACCGAGGTCTAAGAATAGTTATTTCTGTCTACACTGGTGCTAGGACCAGTGTAGACATATGCTTTGTCTGAGGCCATGAGAATATCAACGTTCACCATGCTACAAAGTCCATGCTCAATAATCCAGGTATACAATCCAACATTTTTCAGTCAGGTCATCTAGACAGTTTTTTTTTTTTTTGTGCTGAAACATTTCACCTTAGATCCAGAAGGCTTCATCAGTCAAGGAAACATGCAACACTTTGGAGTAAGCTGTTGGGGGAAAAATCAGTTTTGTTGTGTGTTTCCTTGACTGATGAAGCCTTCTGGATCTAAGGTTAAACGTTTCAGCATAAAAAATGAAAGTGTCCAGATGACCTGACTGAAAAATGTTGGTTCACCATGCTGTTTCTGTGTTATGATGAGCTCTAAACCCTGACTGAAACTCTTCAAACATCATTTTTGTTCAGATGTTCACACAACTGATTTGCAACTATTTTCTCAAGACATCAACGTTCGTGCTCAATAATCCAAGTAAAAAAAAATCCAACAAAATTAAGTCAGGCCTGGACGTTTTTTTTTTTTTTTTTGTCGTTTTTGTTGAAACGTTTTGTCCTTTATCCAAAGGACTTCATCAGTCTGAGGAGCCAAACAAACTCAGTTCCATAAGTGGCTTACTCACATAGTGGGCCAACCAGTTTTATGGTGATGGTTTCTGGAGTCCGCTCTCTCCCCCATCAACTCCTCTGAGGCAGCCATATCCAAAGTGATTCAAAACTTCAAAGTTCATGCTCAATAATCCAGGTAAAAAAATCCAACAAAGTTCAGTCAGGTCCTCTGGACGGTTTCTTTTTTTGTTGAAATGTTTCATCCTTAATCCAAAGCACTGTTCATTTGCAAGACAGAGGGAAATAATGGAAGAGATCCTTTAAATTTGGCTGCATGCATTCATAAACATCTGCTATAATGAAATTTACTCTCAATGACTGTATAGTCATGTAAACTCAAAGGTTATTAAAAAATAGTTAGACAGAACAAGATTTTGAGGATGTACGTATGCATTAATAAGTACTTACTCTCTATGCCATAAGTCAGAAGATCAAATGTCGTGATGAGAAATGTGTGGACATTTTGGGTAAAACTAATTTACTCAATTATATTAATTCAACCTTTATTTATACAGTTTAGTCTCATTGAGCCCCGAGGACTCATTTACAAGAGAGACCTGTTTTAAACAAAGAATGATGACAACAGTGGACAATCAGAAAACAAAGCATATGAATTGAAAAAACAAATGGAAGAAAATGATATATATAAAAAAAGAAACAAAAACAGCTCAATTGTAAAGCGATGTAAAATACTAAAAACAGGAACACGCCACATCGGTTTTTCCCATGAACTTAGTTGTTTAAAGCCACTTAGAGAGGTCAAAGTCGAGAGCTTCAGATCTTTTTGCAAGGTGTTCCAGGCTACAGGAGTGGAGTAGGAGAAGGCCTTTTTGCCAAGTTCACATTGCACTGAATGTCTGAGAGAGCACGCTGTAGCTGCACTGATGCAGTGACATGTAGCAGGAGATGAAGGCAGCAGACCAAGAAAAGATTTAAAGATGAAAATGTACCATTGAGAGAGTCTGCATGAAGTTAATGATGACCAGTTAACCAGTGAATACAGGGTGCAATGGTGGGTAGCCATTTATGAATCTTAATGCACCGTGATAGACAGCATCCAACATCTGGAAGGTGCAGGAGTATTCATGTAAATAATGTCAATGTAGTCAACGGAGAGGAGGAAGGTTGCAGTTACAAGGCATTTCCTAGCGTTCAGAGTTAGACAGGATCTTCTGAAACAGAAACCCAGTTTTACTTTCAGTGTTTTTACCAAGTTTTCCACGTGGGGCTTAAAAGAGAGATTCTAATCGACCGAGATACCCAAATATTTGTAGGAATCGACAAACTCAATAGGAACCACATTCGAAGATATAGAAGGACTGCTGGGACCGACTTCCTGTTTGAAAGCAACATCCCTTTGGTTTTTGTCGGCGTTTAGTACAAGTTTAGGATGGATCTGACAGATTGCAAAAGCTGGAAAACCTTAGCAACTGTTGTAGCTCAACAGTTAACTGTATCGTCAGTGTAGAAATGTAAGGATGCATCAGGGATGATCTGACCTACAGTTTACAAGAAACCTATGTAAAAAAAAAACCAACTATGTATAATTATGTAGATTGAGAAAGGTGGATAGGTGCAGCGTCTGCAGTGAAGCGGGCGCTGTACAGGTCTGTCGTGGTGAATAGAGAGCTGAGTCAAAAGGCGAAGCTCTCAATTTACCGCTCGATCTACGTTCCTACCCTCATCTATGGTCATGAGCTTTGGGTTGTGACCGAAAGAACGAGATCTCGGATACAAGCGGCCAAAATGAGTTTTCTCCGCAGGGTGTCTGGGCTCTCGCTTAGAGATAGGGTGAGAAGTTTGATCATCCGGGAGGGACTCAGAGTAAAACCGCCGCTTCTCCACGTCAAGAGGAGCCAGTTGAGGTGGCTCTGGCATCTGTTTAGGATGCCTCCTGGACGCCTCCCTGGTGAGGTGTTCCGGACACGTCCCACCGGGAGGAGACCCAGAGGAAGACCCAGGACACGCTGGAGGGACTATGTTTCTCGGCTGGCCTGGGAATGCCTCGGGATTCCCCCGGAGGAGCTGAACCAAGTGGCTGGGGAGAGGAAAGTCTGGGCTTCCCTACTTAGGTTGCTACCCCCGCGACCCGACCCCAGATAAGCGGAAGACAATGGATGGATGGATGGTGAAGAGGGTGGGTCCTAAGACTGAGCCTTGTGGTACACCACTGTTAACAGTATGATAAATGGAAAAAGTACCATTATGTTGAACACATTGCCTCCGATCTGAGAGATAGTTAGAGAAACAACCAATGGTGTGACCTGAGAAACCAATTTCTGAGAGCTCATGTCATGGTCCACAGTGTCAAAAGCTTTAGACAGGTCATATATTACAGGTTATATTAGCTTTAGACATTGCTTTGTAAATACAGCTGAAGTATATTTGTTGCTATCAACGGCTATTAAATGCAGAACAACATGGAGACATCCTGAACATTGTCTTAAAAACGCCCAAACTACCCGACATGTTCAGATTCTCCCGCCGTTTTGAAATGACAGGAAATCTCGCCTCCTCGTGGCCAGATGCGCGTTGTACGTCAACCGTCCCGTCACGTGAGACCGCAGTAACGTGACTTTCATGAACGGGAAATGTGGAAAGGCTGAACACAAGTTGTCTCAAAGCTCGCTAAAACGTCTTTACCTTGTCCCGGTTTGTCACGGAACCGGGCCGGACAGCCGCAAACAGAACCCGCAGGAGTTAAAGAGGGTTTCCGTGCGCGCGCCAGGTGAGCTGTCGGCTGTTTAGCTTGTTTTGTTGCTAATTGTTTCTTGTTTTGTTGCTAATTGTTTCTTGTTTTGTTGCTAATTGTTTGCTCAAAACTGCTTTTCCACCATGACTGTTATTGACTTAAGTCAGATAGCTAAACTCCTGCTTCATATTCCGCCAAATTAATATATTTAAATAATGTTTTTTTTTATGCGCGTTTCTTTTCGTTTCTGTGAATGAAATCGAAACTTTGCACCAGTTATGAAGAAATCTCGACAATGACATCATTCAGGTGATAATTAAAGCCCTCATTCTTCTAAGAAAACAAATCTTTTTTTTTACCTTTTTTTTAACCTAAAGCTGTTGTTCGTTATAAAGTTTTTATTTGACTTCTTCGGCCTTGACTAAAGTGATCACTTCATGCAGAGTTGCCTGTTTATTGTGTTGCTGTCAGATGATTTCCATTACAGACTAGTCTGACTTGAATTCAATGAACAGCACAAATGAGAGGCAGAATGCAGCCAACACATGACAAAACATCAAATGTTTATTACTGTTGTTGATAATGAAGTGGGTTTATTTCAGTTTTACCCTCCGCTGCATTAGTTTTTAGTAAATGGAAACAAAAATCCTGGAAATTAGCACTAGATTTTGATGCTTTTTGTTCCTTTACCTGTTTCTGTGTTGATCTTAAGTCGTATCAAAAGGGGAAGAAGTGTTACCAAGTTAGACTACTGATGGAAATGGAAACACAAGTGTGCAACAATGGAAATCCCACTTCACTGTGAAGACAATGCGATGCTTCCTCTTTCTTTAGCTTCCACTCACGAACCTCTGCAGTCAGATCTTTTACAACCTCAGTCCCCACCTGATTCACCCGCAGTGTTCCTCACTGGTACAATTAAAGGTAAAACTACTCATTTGGACGTGTTTCCAGGCAGTCATGGGGTCCATGTTTCGAAGCGAGGAGGTGTGCCTGGTGCAGCTCTTCCTCCAGTCGGGCTCGGCCTACAACTGTGTCAGTGAGCTGGGAGAACTGGGCCTGGTGGAGTTCAGAGATGTGAGTTGAAACATTTGACTTTCCTCTCGGCTCATCATCTTTTGCGGCAAAGCACACACAAAAAAACCCACAAAGGCTGTGAGGAATTTCTTGTAATTGATTTTTAACTTTGTTGTTGTGTGCTTTGACTCACATGGCAAGTTTTTTTTTTTAACAGATTTTCTTAACTTCACAAGATTACAATCACCTTTTGTTGATCTGCTTTTAGATCAAAGTAAAGTCTTTGTGTCTTCACTGATGAACCGTTTGCTTTTTTTGTAACCACTAGTACTTGTGTTGCCTTCCTCTTCGTCTCTCATTTTCCGACTTTTCAGTTAAATCCCAACGTGAACGCCTTCCAAAGGAAGTTTGTCGGCGAGGTCAGGCGATGCGAGGAGCTCGAGAAGACTTTTAGTAAGCACTGACTCATCCTTCCCCACGTGCATTTCCATTTGTCTTTTATTAGTCTTGTCCTGCTTTGCCCTTCCTGACATTCACTCCGTCCTTCAGCCTTCCTGGAGCAGGAGATCAGTCGCTCCTTGTCTCCGCCACTGCAGGGTCCCCTCCCTCCTCCTACCCCGATGCCTCCGGCCCCGCAGCAACGAGAGCTCATCACTATAGAGGAGGAAAGTGAGAGGCTGGCGAGAGAGCTGAGAGAGGTGAACACACTGATGAAGTCTTTTGAACTGAAGGGGTGTCATTTGTTATCACCCATCAGTGAAAGGCAGGCGATAATGTTTTTGTGTTGGCTAATTGACATTAGCCATTATTAGTAGTAGCTTAGATTCACAACACATACGTCATGTGATATCACAGGAGATCATGCGTAATAATGTTATTACCTTTTGAACACAGCGCCATCATTTCTCAAATATAAGATGATCTTAGTCTAAACTCTAGCATGAAGGAAGGCAGGTGATATTAATTCTCTCAAGGAATGCCATACCTTTATTTAGTTTGTGTTATTGTTTTCCAGGTATCCAGGAATAGAGACAGCCTTCGTGCTCAGCTCAATCAGCTCCATCAGTACCGAGGCGTTCTTACCAGAACACACTCGCTCACAGCCATGCAGGTCTGCCATCACTTCTGGATCGTAACTTATAAAATACAATACACAAGCTTGTGATCATTTTTCACCTTTTCTCTCTCAGGCACCACCACCTGCTCTAGAAAGCCATGGCCCTTTTGATAACCGCCAAGACATCCGCCTCAGGTAGAGCTCAGATTTTCAGAAACTCCTCTTGAGTTTTCCTATAATTTTTTCCACTTTGAGCACATTTTCCTGCCTCGTCTCGTCCTCAGTTTTGTAGCAGGAGTGGTCCATCCTTGGAAGGTCCCATCGTTTGAACGGTTGCTATGGCGAGCGTGTCGCGGTTATATTATCGTGGACTTCAGAGAAATGGGGGAACCACTTGTCCACCCAGACACGGTAGAAGCTGGAGAAGAAGATATGATTACTGGTAGTCAGATCTTGTGGGTTTCTGCTTTCTTACCTCATCTTTTTGCTGTTTCTCTGTTTTTTTTTGTTGTTTTTTTCAGGGGGAAATGGTGCAATGGACCGTGTTTCTTATTTCCTTTTGGGGAGATCAGATCGGACAGAAAGTGAAGAAGATTTGTGATTGGTAGGGAAATCTGTGCATCGGCTTGGTTGTGTTTTAGTTGGTGTGCGTGTGAATTTATGCACTCAGTCTGAAAACTACATAAAAAAGGGAACAATGTATCAAAACAACCAAGATTAGCAAAAAGACGAGTCAGTGATGGTTTCATTTGTTTTAGGAATCAGTAAAATTCAACCCTTTTCAAACGTTTTGTTCGATTATCACGTTGTTGCTATGCATCTTTTGTCTGAATTAAAATGATTTAAATAAAAAGTAAAATTTCTAACGAGACGCGCGTTTTTGTCCTGACAGCTTCCACACGCAGACGTTTGTATACCCAGAGAGTACGGCAGAGAGAGAGGAGATTCTTCAGGGACTTCAAGGCAGAATCCAAGATATAAATTCTGTAAGTGCAGTAAATGCTCTTTTTGTTGCTGCTTTAGCACAACATCAACCTTTTATCTTGTTTGTAAAATCTGAAATTACCACAAAAACCTCCAGAAACCATATTTTACAAAACCGTCTCCTTTCACTTCCCTCAAAGTGCAAAGTCTTCAGTTACAATAAAGTCCAGTTGTTTTGTTTTTAACTTTTTTGGGGGTTTTTCACTTCCCTCCTTGTGATCCAGGTGTTGAACCAGACTGAAGCTTACCTGCAGCAGCTGTTGGTACGAGCCGTGGCCATCTTGCCCGAGTGGAAGGTGAAAGTCCAGAAGTGCAAGGCCATCCAGATGGTTCTGAATCTCTGCAGTCCGTCTGTGACCGACAAATGCCTGATCGCTGAAGCCTGGTGCCCCAGTGCCAAGCTGCCGGAGCTGCAGAGCGCTCTCAGAGAAGGAGGGGTGAGAAGACGCTGCAGCAGCAGTTGCAGGCCAGGTGGGTTCCCATCAATAAGTAATGCTGTGTTTGTTTGTCCTCAGAGGAAGAGTGGCAGTGGAGTTGACTCTTTCTACAACCGCCTGCCCTCCACCGCCCCTCCACCCACTCTGTTTCCCCTCAACTCCTTCACAACTGGCTTCCAGAGCATTGTAGATGCTTACGGAGTGGCCACCTACCGTGAGGTCAATCCTGGTACGTCACCGTAAAAGTTTCTCTAAAAAGAAGAGATTTCCATAAACGAGTCCAAAGGGCAGCTCAGTTTAGTAACTAATGATTAGTTAACACTTTTCTCTGCCTCTGCAGCGGTCTACACCATAATTACATTCCCCTTCCTGTTTGCGGTGATGTTTGGCGATGTGGGTCATGGTTTGCTGATGTCTCTGGCTGCCCTCTGGATGGTCCTTGAGCAGAATGACCCCAAACTCAAGAACAATACAAACGAGGTAATTTTAACGCTGGTGATATTCTCATGCTTTTCTCCATAACTGTTGTTAAACAAAAGAATCAATCAAATATTATGAGACATTGTTTATCTGTTTGAAGCCCAATTTAGCTTATTTTCCCCCCCTCTGTGCAATTAGCTGTAATTTTGTTCACAAATCATTAAAAACAATCAAAGATGGCTTAAAAAAAACAGCAAGAAATTAGGAAATACACGTTTCAAACGTATAATTTCTGATTTTGGACTAAAAGAAAGTCTCGGAAAGCAGCATCTTTTTCGTTTGACTCCAGTTCACTCAGCACTGCAGCGTGCAGGGAGGCTCTCTCCTCCCTAGCTGCTGTCTAGATCAGTTCTAGTTGAGTCCAAAAGGGATTTATCTTGTCTCATTAAAGCTCTCCCCTAGTTTCACATTAATCAGTTTGATATGAAGAACATTTCCTAAGTGGGAGTTCCTTATTATTATAATTTTTTTGTAACGGGGAGTCAGGAAACGCATTAAAGAGTAAAATATGTGTTTCTCTGCGTTTTAGATCTGGAGAATGATGTTTGGAGGAAGATATGTGATTCTTCTGATGGGGCTGTTCTCCATCTACACGGGGGCCATTTACAACGAGTGCTTCAGCAGAGGCCTCACTACCTTCAGCTCAGCGTGGCACGTCCAGCCCATGTTTGAAAGAAACATATGGAAGTAAGAACAGTTCCAGCGGTCATGATAGAAATGACTACACGTTCTGTTTCTTACATTTATCTCGTCTGTTTAAGCTCGTCGGTGCTGGTAGGGAGCCAGTTTTTAACCATGGATCCAAACGTGACCGGCGTTTTTACCAGCCCCTATCCGTTTGGGATCGACCCCGTACGGCCATCACACTCACCTTTTAGTCCAAATCAAACAAAATGAAACATATTTCTCATTCTGGCTTGTTTTTCTGCTTTTTCTAGGTTTGGGGCCTGTCAAACAACAAACTAACCTTCTTAAACTCGTACAAGATGAAGATGTCAGTCATCATCGGTGTCATTCACATGACTTTTGGAGTCTGTCTGTCGTTCTTCAACTACTGGTCAGTGACCCAACTTGTTTTCTTTGCACTTTTTAGTGTTTTTCTACAACGCCTCCACCATTTTACTTTATTGTCACCATCACATGTTGTTGCTTTCTGCAGGATAATCTTTATACGTTTGTGTTTCTGTAGGCACTTTGGCAAGATCAGCAGTATATTCTTTGTGCTGATCCCTGAGCTGTTCTTCATGTTGTGTCTGTTCGGCTACCTTGTGTTCATGGTGGTCTTCAAATGGATCGCCTACACGCCTGCTGAGTCCAAAATGGCTCCCAGTATACTGATCCACTTCATAGACATGTTCCTGTTCACAAACAATCCAGAAAACCCGCCGCTATATGAGGGTCAGGTGTGTTTTAATACAGGACACACACACACACACACACACACAAAGACATCAACGTTTCATATCTCTAATAAAATCAATGGGATTGATATTTAGTGTTTAATATATTAATATTTCCTTAAAGATACAACTCTATTTTATTTTGTCAAAATTAGTTAATAAGTAAACTGTTGGTATTACAGAGTTAGGAGTATCATTATTATCAACTAGAGAAATTGCATTTCCTGCAAAAATGCAGTGTGAATGCTTATTGCTGAAGAACTTGCTGAAAACCAGCTGAAATGGAAGAACAAACCTAAGTTAGCAGAAGAAAGCAGAAAGAACAAATATCGGCTGAAAAAAGTTTGAATAAGCAGAAATGAGCACAAAAATTAGTAAATTAGCTTAAAAAAAGCTGAAATTAGCAAGAAATAACTGCAAAGTAGCTGAAAAGGCAGAAAGAAGCTTAAACTGCTAGGAGGAAGTGAAAAGAGCTGAAATGAGCTCAACAAATGTGGAAATGGCTAAAAAAAAGAAGCTAAATTTAGCACAAAACAACTAAACTGTGGCTGAAAAACCATAGTTGAAAAGGCTGAAAATGGCAGAAAGAAGTCAATTAGGTTAAAAGTAGCAGAAAATACTATAAAAATTTAGAATTTTTTTCTTTTGAAAACGGGTAAAATCAGCTAAAAAGAAAGCTGAAAATGTAGCTGAAAAGGTAGAACAAGCAAAAGATAACATAAAGAAAACAAATTAGGCTGAAAAAAGCAGAAATGGGCACAAAAAAGTCAGAGTCAGAGAGTCAGAGTTTCTTTATCGTCATTCGCACCTCATGTGGTACATGTGGTGGAGCGAAATTATGTACACGGGGTCCCAGTTACATCCGACAATAAAATGTATAAGAAAAACAGTAATAACATCTAAGATATGAACTAAGAAAAACATCAACTAAATATACACTAAGCACTCATAACATAAAAACATTGAACATCAGCACAAACATGAACATGAGTCTGTGAGCAGATGTGCACGCATGAACACATCAACATTGAAACAGATCAGCAGCAACATGAAACAGATCAGCAGCAACATGATATGGTTTTTCACAGTGATTATTCTAGTTAGAGATTCATGAGTCTAACAGCCTCAGGGTAGAAGCTGTTCCTCAGTCTAGTGGTTCTACACTTAATGCTCCTTAACCTCCTTCCTGAGGGGAGTGGGGCAAAAAGTGTGTGTGCTGGGTGGGTGGGGTCCTTCATGATGCAGGTGGCTCTCTTCCTGCATCTGGAGGTGTAGATGTCTGTGATGGTGGGGAGACTGATTCCAACAGATTTCTGTGCAGCCTTCACCACTCTCTGCAAAGCTTGGAAAAAAAGTGGAAATTATCTGGAAAAAGCAGAAGTTAGCAAAAACAGCTGAAATTGGCTATAAATGCAAAAAGAAGCTTAAATTACCATAAGGAAGTGGACAGAGCACATTTTTGCTGAATTAGGCTGAAAAAAGTTTAAATGAGTGCAAAAAATTCTGTAGATTTAGCTGAAAAAACTCAAATTAGCACAAAAACAGTTAAATAGTAGCTGAAATGGCAGAAATAATTGAAAACTGCAGAAATAAGCTGAAAGGAGCATAACGAGCTTAAATTAGCAGAAGGCAGTTAAAAGAAGCACAGCAAAATTGTAATTAGCAGAATAAAGCAGAAAAGAGCACAAAACAGCAGAAAAAACAGCTAAAATTAGCTGAAAATAGCTGCATTGTTTTAAATTTTCACAAGCTGAAAGAAGCAGAACAAAATGTGAAAGGAGCAGTAAAAGTTTGTAAACAGATCTGAAGATTTGAAGGATGTAAAATGAGCTCAATTCATTTCCTATGAGAACAAAAGTGGCAGAAAAGGCTAAACATTTCAAAAAGCTAAAGTTGCACCAACACCAAAAGTCATATCAGGATTGTTCTGAAAGAGCTGAACATTTTGATTTATGATTTGTTGAAATGGCTTCAAATCCGCGCGACGAGAAACGCGCCAAAAACGTACGGAAGAACAAGAGGATCACAACAATGTGAATGCTTCATAAACATTCACACAATAATATTAAAATGAAACTTATCCAAACTTAAAGATTTGTTTATGCACAAAGTTACTTTGACAGCTTTCAGTTTTTACTTGCGTGCTTGCCTTTTCCTTTCTGCTGACACAATATTCTTAAGCAGATTAAATGCCTGTTCATTACAAGCACATGGATACAGTAATCTAGTTATCAGTCATAACGACCAGCCACAATGCTGCAGCTGTTGCTCTGCGTTTAATGTCATGTTCTCCAGGTTTCAAAATATCTGAGGTCATTTTGTACTGTACTGATTTGTGTTTGTGGGGCGCACAACAGTGTTGTTGTTTAACTTGTGCTTCTTTTCCACGTGCAGCTCGTGGTGCAGAAGGTCCTGGTTGTGCTCGCTCTGTGCTCAGTCCCCGTCCTCCTCCTGGGGAAGCCGACCTGTGAATACTTCACATTCAGGAATAGGCGGCATCGTGTAGTAAGTCTGTGTTTAAGTTATCTTTACTATGTATCATGAGATGCATTATTCTCCCAACTCTCTGTGACGTTAGGATGAAGAGAGGCGTCCGCTGGTGGCCGAAGACGGCTCTGTGAACACCAGTCAGGGGGAGGTGGAGGGGGGAGCGGCTGAAGAAGAGGTAAAAAGGACAGCAGTTATTAAGCGGAGTAAGTGTTGCTGCTGCGCTCGTGTTTCCTGTTTGACGGCTGGAACTGTGCTGCCTGTAGGAGTTCGACGCTGCAGACGTGTTCATGCATCAGGCCATCCACACCATCGAGTACTGCCTGGGCTGCATCTCCAACACGGCCTCTTATCTGCGGCTCTGGGCCCTCAGTTTGGCTCATGCACGTTAGTCCAGACACACAAGCGCAACCTCATCCTCACATGATGCGCACAGGAGACGTCCTCTCTCGTAACGAACACGCTACTGCTTCAGTGGTTCGTGTTTTTCCCCATTCAGTGAGTCACTCGTGTCTCTGCAGAGCTCTCGGAGGTGCTGTGGGTGATGGTCATGCGTCTGGCCCTGAGGTGGCAGGGCTACGTGGGGTCTGCGGTGCTCGTAGTGATTTTCTTCTTCTTCGCCTTGTTGACCGTCTCCATCCTCCTGGTGATGGAGGGACTCTCGGCGTTCCTGCACGCGCTCCGTCTGCACTGGTAAGGACGGGGAAAATACACTAAATGCTTAAAACTTTATAGTTTTCAGAGTGTTTCTGTTCGTGTGAGCTTCTTTAACAGAAGAGGAGTCACATGCAGATTCCACTATTTCATCTAAAATCTGAAGTTGTAAAAACAACGAGTTATATTTAGCTGTTCGATTCAAATACGTGTTTGTACATAGTGTGAATGTTTATGAAGCATTCACACGAGTATGGTCCATTTTTCTTCTGAACGTTTTTCAGCGCATTTTGCGTCCCACAGTTTTCAAGCTCTTTCAACAAATCATAAATCAAAATGTTCAGCTCTTTCAGGACAATCCTGCTGTGACTTTGGGTGATGGTGCAACTTTAGCTTTTTCCTCATAGAAAAGCAATTGAGCTCATGAGCTCATTTTACATCCTTCACATCTTTCGATCTGTTCACAACTTTTTACTGCTCCTTTCACATTTTGTTCTGCTTCAGCTTCTTTCAGCTTCCTTGTGCAAATTTAAACATTTTTTCAGTTACTTTAAGCTGTTTCTTCAGCTGTTTTGTGCTCCTTTCAGATTATTTCTGCTAACTACAACATTTTTGTGCTGCTTCTATTTTTTTTCAGCTAATTTCAGCTTGTTATGCTCCTTTCAGCTCGTTTCTGAAAGTTTCAGCTTTTTGTACTTTCATCTACTATTTAGCTGTTTTTATGGTAATTTAATATTTTTCAGCTTTTTGCACTCCTTTGAACTTTTCCAGCATCATTCAGAAACGTGTTCTCTCCACTTCCTTCTTGTAATTTCAGCTTCTTTCTGCTTTTTTTATTAGCTCTTTTTCACCTGTATTTTGTTAATTTCAGCTTTTTTCAGGTAATTTCCACTTTTTGTGCTCATTTTTGCTTCTTTCAGCAAACATGTTCCTTCTGCTTTCTTATGCTAATTTAAGCTTTTTCTACCTTTTCAGCTACATTTTTAGCTAATTTTAGCTGTTTTCATATAAATTAAAGGTTTTCGTGGTAATTTCTGCTACTTTCAGCCTAATTAACTTATTTATGCTCATTTCAGTTTTTTTCTACTAGTTTCAGTTTTTTCTGCTATTTCAGCTACTATTTAGTTTTATGCTAATTTTAGTCTTTTCAGGTAATTCCATTCAGCTCTTTCCACTTCCTTTTGTTAGTTTAAGAATCTTTCTGCATTTTCAGCTACTTTTCAGCCATTTTTTTTAGCTAATTTCCTATTTCTGTGCTCATTTCTGCTTATTTAAATCTAATTGGGCAAATATGTGTTCTTTCTGCTTTCTTCTGCTAATGTAGGCTTGTTCTTCCATTTCAGCCACATTTCAGCATGTTTTTTAGTTAATTAAAACTTAATTTCAGCTGTTTTCCAGCACGTTCTGCTGCGATAAGCATTCACACTGCATTTTCACAGGGAATGCAATTTCTCTAGTTAAGTAATACTGTGGGAACTCTACTCCTCTTATGCTCACTGCTGAATAAACTAGACAAATTACTTCTGGAAGGTTGTACTTGTACTTGAAGCTTGTGTCTCTTTCCTCAGGGTGGAGTTTCAGAACAAGTTCTACAGTGGAATGGGCTACAAACTCAGCCCTTTCTCCTTCACGTCCCTGATCGGCGCTCATGCTGCTATATGATTGGCCCAACGATTGCCAAGCAGTTCTGTTAACGTGTGTATTTATGTCGATCCTAATTGTATTCTGCTGCCTGTAAACCATGAAGTGGTTTAATTAACTTGCACATTAATCACGATCAGTGACACAGACTGTTATTTTTGGCATCAGTAAAATGAAGACCAGTCTCTTTTGCTAAATGATGACATCGTATGAGAAATGCTAGTTTTGTAATCCCTTTTCTGATTTTTTTACTTTTAATATGTATTGATTTCTTAATGCTTTTTTTTTTCAGTATCTCAAAAAGTATTTGGCAATAATCTAATTTTTACTGTATAAACACTAGTTATAGGCAAATTCTAAAAAAAAGGGAAGGCACTGCCTGATAATGGGTCTATTTTGGTGTTTAAGGGAATGAGACTGTTGACTTGGTGAATGTTAAGATTGTTGGATTGTTTATCAATTTAGGAACAATCTAAATAATTTCTCTGAGCCAAAGACTTTTCCCCGTATTTTAACGTCTTCCAAGCATACCCCAAAGCAAAGGTATTTATTTGTAGTTGGGTGTTTTATTAGTGCCTTATTAGAATAATTTATGTGTTCTGAATTTTGAAAAAAAAAATTTAAAAAATTGCAGCTGCTGTTGTGCCACTAATTTGTCAAAACCTCCAAGTTGACATCTGTTGTTTTTTTTTCATTTAATTCTTTAAATTTGATCAAATTTGAAGAAAAAATTAAAAATATCTTTTAAGTCCTGTTGCGTGAAGTTGTTCATTTATTTATGTTTGTTTAAGATGTTTCTTTTTTCAGCTTTTCTCTCTTCAGGGTCTCCACAGTGAATCGTCCTCCTCCATCTCACTCTGTCCTCACTCCAACTCCGTCCATGTCCTCTCTAACTGCATCCATGTGTCTCCTCTTTGTCTTTTTCCTGGCAGCTGCATTTCTAACATCCTTCTACCAGTACACCCACTGTCCCTCTGGACATGTTGGTTTTTAAGATGTTTATTTGTTGCTTTTCAACACATCAAGCAATTAAAGCCAAAAAATTTAAAGTGGGAATATAATTTTTAAGACACCTGTGCTGGAAGACACTTTAAAGTTTTATTTCTAACAGTTACTGTCTTGAAGATTTTTTGTTCAGATGTGTAAGTAAAGAGTACAAGTACATTTTGTTACAGTTTTAACTTGGACTGTCACCTTGTGTTGATGTGAAGTGTTTTTATGTTCATTCAATCTTTATTTATACAGGTTAGTCTCATTGAGTCATGCACTCGTTTACAAGAGACCTGTTTTAAACAAAATTATAAATGAGATACACACAATAAACATTCATATGAAAGTATAGAAGATGAAAAGCGTATAAAAGAAGTGATACAAAACAAAAAACATGCTACATTAAAGAATTAAAATACTAAAAACATGAATATGTCTGCATTGATTTTTGCATTGAACTTAACAGTAGTTTAAAATTAAAATGTGTAACATGTATTTTACATGTTTGAACAAAAGAAGTGAATCACAGAAGAAGGGAATAAAATAACTGAACAAGAGGTTTAGCATTAGAAACATGTTGGAAAAACATCTGATGGTATTTGTTTTAAGTTTGTGATTCCCCAAATTCCAGATGAGTTGTCCCATTTTTGGCCCTCAGTCCATATTTTGCTCATGCGTGTTGTAAAAATTAAAGATAAAACAGAAGTTACTGTTTAAAAACACCATAATTTAAATGTAATTATTTTATTTCCATAATTATTTTCTTCTGACTCGTAGACTTATGCCGGTGCATTCTCTCTCTCTCTCTCTCTCTCTTTTTTTTTTTGTCGCTTCTGTTTCCTTCCGGACCTCTTTTCAGGTTACACCAAGTGAACCACAGCTCAAGGGGATGTCAAAGATGGAGGACGTCGCGTGAACCTGATTTAAACGAGCATAGCACTTCAGGTACAAAGCCTTGTCAGATGGTAACAGACTGGACTTTATTTGTTTAACGTGAAGATGGCTCTGAACGAAATGAGCCGCTGTGTTCGGCTGTTGTTCGGTCCAATTCAACGATGTCCTGTTGTGACTTCGAGGCAGACTGGTAAGGAGGGGGACGGTATTTAACGACGCACATCTTTATGTTGATTCAGAACGAACCGACTAATTTTTGTTTCATGAAACTGTGCCAGCTCGGTGTCTGAGTCAGGCGGCCACTCAGCCGGAGCCCACCGCGGATGAAAACGAATCGGTCAGTCCGACCTTTGTGAACAGGAACCCCCGGAACCTGGAGCAGATGGCTCTGGCTGTGAAGGACCGGGGCTGGAAGACTACATGGCCTCGCCAGGAGTTCTACCACAGGTCTGACTCAAACACTGCAAGCGGCCCCCTCAGATGTTCTTATTAAATGTGCACCCATCACACTGTTAATTTAGGTGTTATAATTTTAAACATTTTAGTGCAGTGTGTTTTTTAAAGAATACATTTTCACTACTTCACAAAATGTGAGCTCCCCTTTTTAAATTAGTTTAAATCATTTAAAAAATAAATAAATATATAGATGGGGTTGCTTTCTTTTTCGAACACATTAAACGTAAAAAATACATAAAAGCTCCAAATTTACACATTGAAACATGCAGAACTCTAAGTAAAACCATATAAAGTGTTTGTAAATTTATTCCCGCTGCTGGTTGAGAAGTTTTTGACCTGAACCCATTTAACATTTAATTTTGATCATTCCTTCAATCCTCCCCCCAGGTTGATGTTCTTTCGCAGCAAACGCCACGTCACGGCGGAGGTGTTCTCCACCGGCTCTACTGTTCCCGTACTGACCTGTTCCACCAAAGAGTGGGCAATGAAGAGGGAACTGGCTTCCACAAACTCTGTAGTAGCGTGCCAAGCTGTGGGGGAGGTGCTGGCGATTCGATGCCGGCAGGCTGGCATCACCAGGATGGTGTACAAGGAGATTCCCTGGACGTACCGCTGCGATGCTGTGAGTACACGCAGCTACGACTGATGGATGAATATTGGGTGTAATTACTGCATACTTAAGTTGTTGTTTATTATCTTGTAGGTTCAGGCGTTCAGAACTGCAATAAAAGAGGGAGGAATCATTCTCAGTGAACCCAGGAGGAAATATATCGGGACATAAATCTACTCCACCAGTTGTTTTGATAAATGTCCATCACTTATTACTGGACAGGTGTTCAGTGACAATGTAGAAGAAAAACAATGTTTCTTATGGATAAGTGTTTCAGAACCTACCTGTGCTGCTCTGGTGCATTATTAAAAGGAGAAAAACAAATTGTTGGGATATTTTATTTTATTTTTCTCTCATAATGTTTCGTAAACGAGAGAGAGGTGTGGACAGTGAACAGCGAACCACAACAGATATGGATGTTGATCAAAAAAATAAAATTAAAAAGTGATGTGTGCTGACAAAATGTGTCATAATGAACATGGGCTGCAGTGCTAAAAAGTAATTTCTATATTTTACATAAATAAGATTTGTGAACAAATTAGTCAATAAAAACACTAATTTTCCTATTCTACCTCCAAGTTAAAGTTTTCTAACAAGTCTCTTCAGAAATAATCTTTTGTCTTCTAGCCCTTTTGATTTGCTTTGAAATACATTCGCTGTCGTAGTATCAGGAAATTCCTTTCATCGTGAAGTTTGGGGATCCCCCCCCCGCCTTGAATTCCCAACATCATTCTAGACCAGCGCTATTCAACAAAACTGCTCAGGGGGGGCACAGTTTCTGAAAGGGAACAGCTCGGGGGTCAGACATCCAGAGATTAGTCATTGTGTAAATAAACCAAGTTTTGCAACGATCTGTTCCCTTTTAAATCGGTTTGTTTTATTGCACTGAATCATAAATGCAATAAACCAAACCCAGAACCACCACCACCAAAAAAAATACTATTAATGAAGTGGGCTGGATTAAAGTCACCCATGGGCTGTAAATGGCCCGCGGGCCACCAGTTGAATAGCCCTGTTCTAGACCAATAAAAAAAACAAGTTTTCAAACCAGCACACGTAAACAAAACTTATCTTGTTACTAGCCGGATGAGAAGTCACCAACATTTCAACAAACTATCATCTTGAAGCTTTTGAGATTGAGAATTTGAAAATAAATATTGAAAAGTTCCTCACTGTGACTCGTCTTGCCAGCACAGATCACAAACATTGATCTTATCAATCACAGTTACCTCAGGGAGTGTGGAGCGAGCGCTGAGGGCTTATAAAGTGCATGTAAATGCTTGTAATGGTGGGCATGCAGGTTAAATGAACAAAGCTTTAGCTTGGCTTCCATTGACAAAAAGTAATACCAGCATGAAATAATGTTCCACATCAGCATCTGATGTGTACTTTTTAAAGTCCATATTTATACACATTAAAAACCCTGAACTGTTTCATCACGGGCTGGTAGACAAACACCAAAACATGCACCCGCTTCACCAGCATTTATATTTTGATACCATATTGTATTTATGCAAGAAAGTTGGGACGTATGAAGCAGTAGAAAACAATACAATACGTGGCCACCACCTTGCAGAGTAAAAAACAACATAAAAACACCAGTTGTATTTCATTCTCAGGTTGAAGGCACTCGTGCAGTCCTGGTGTTAAATAAAAAATTAAATGGTTCAACACGTGGACATGATATTTTCATTTAAATATTTTCACTGGCACATGGAAAAAGTTTGGCATTTAGATGTGCGCCATAAAACTGGCCAGACGTCCATAATGCACAGCTTAAATGTTATAAAATCCTCCCATCTGATGACAAAAAAAAAGACTTTTGGAAATGAGCAAAGTGGCAGTTTAAAGCCTCGTATTCACCAAGGAAAGAGCTGCTTTTGCATAGATCTCAGGGAGTGTTGGGAAGGAGGAGACAGGAAATGGGGCTCTGATGAGATTTATCTGTTTGTGGCAGAACATCCTCAAATACTTAACACCAAAACCCAAACAGCCTCTGTAGCTGATGATGTCCTGTCCCAGAGCAATACTGCAGCAGAAACCTCCAAGAATTCAGTTAAAATGAGATGTGCAATGATAGACCAGCAAGACAGAAGTACAACTTCAATGCGAGTGTAGAAAAGCCTTGGCATGCGTCGTCCTGGTGTCTTCACCTTCAGGACTTCCTCTGTAGTCCTTTTCCCTCCTGTCCTTCCCTTTGTTCACTTCAGTGCTCGCTCGTGTCGGCGTCTGCCAGGCAGCGCGGTTCTGGTGAAACGTCCACACATGCTTTTTGGTGGGTAAGACCCCGTCGTGCTTGGCTACGCCTGCGTTGTCCTGGAGAGCGTCTTGGGCTGCCAGGCATCTTTGAAGAAACAAAACAAAACGTCATTTATCAGCAAAGTTAGTTGTGAGCTTGTATATTTAAATACAAAGAAGAAAAAGAAAGGATGGGATGCAACAAAAATATTTTGAAATACTAAAATGTGAGAAACTGAAGCCAGAAACGTGTGTGTGCAACTCAGAACACTCTGGTCCCAAAAATCCCATCAAGACCAGTTATACATGAAAGCAAAATAGCTCTTCTTATATTAGGTGGAACAAAACCAAGTGAACAAACGACCTCACCACCTGAGCTACTGACATTTTACAGTTCAGCCTTAAAGCACATCCACTAAAAACTAAAGCAGAATCCTCTGTTATGTTGTATTTGGTCAAGAATACATTCTTTTGTTGTCTCAATATTAAACTAACATTCTACGTCTGATGCTTTTTTACGGAACCGTAAAAATAAAATACATGTTTTGAACATACTTTGTGTTTAGGATGCGTCTGAAGAAATGCACCGCGGACGCAAAATCAGCAGTACTGAACGTCCAAAGACCCACACTGGCAAAGTAAGGCCCGAGGGCCAGAAGTGGTCCTTGTGCCATCTCAATCTGGCCTTGGACCGACCCATACCAAAATAAATCTTTAAATTAATGAAAGAAAACTGATTTTAGTAATGACTTCTCTAAAAAGTAAAACCAGGTCTCCACTACCTTTTTTACCAGTGTACAAAAAAACAAAACAAAGACGAGAGTGCGACTAAAACAAACCTAGCATTCCAAAGGCTGCGTGGCGCTTAATCCAAACATGGGTTAAATAAAATATGTATCAAATAAAAAATAAATTAAATATTGCATTGTTGGTGAGAGTTGGTGCCTCAATTAATTGTCACAGATTTTAGTTTAAAGGCACAATTTGTTATTAGGCTAAAATGGATGTATGCAAGCATGTTAGCTATGATAACCCTATTAGAAAAATAAATAAACAAACAAAAAGCCTTAAATAGACTTTAAATATGTCAGAAAGAAAATTCATATAAAGCTTCAAACAATTACAAAAATGCAACAAACGTCTTCATTGTGTCATGAGAAAAAGCAACTCTTTTTCATGTTTGTTGTGGTTTTGTAAGTGACGCGACGCAGTGAGGTCCTGCCCACGTGGGCCCAAAGCTCCGACACAGAACACTTTCATCACCAGGATGTTTGACCTTCATTACTTTTATTCCTTAGAGCCTGAACGTGACGCGCTGACATGCACTGTGTGAAACTTCTGTTTGAAATAAAACATTCAAAATTTAGTTTTGCAATTTTGTTTTAAAGATTCAGACTACTTTACATAGAGATGTGCACTCATGACCTCATCAAACTATAAAACAAAGTCGTGCCATTTTCTTGTGTCACATTCGTGCACATATTCTTTGCAGACTTACTGAATCTGGATGTTGGGGTTTTGAAGTTGAATGTAAAAATGCTGATTGATTAAGCTCTGACTGGACGCTTCTCTAAACTCCCTTAGTTTAGAATCAATGTGTGCAAAGCCAAAGAAAAGAAGAAAACAAGGAGTTATTTATTTACTTGTAAACAAGGAGTTATTTATTTACCTGTTCGAGCCCTTTGTCCTCGTCATCCAGTTCACTAATGGACTGCATGAGGGAGAAGAGGTTCATCCTGCCACTGCGATTCAGACTCGGAATAACCTTCAGATTAAAGAGATGCAGGATTAAAATATAATAATGGTTTCAGATGAAGTGTGTGTGTGTGTGTGTGTGTGTGTGTGTGTGTGTGTGTGAGGCAGCTTGTCTACCTTGTCTGGCTCATTGATGGTGATGATGGGGCTGACTGCTGGTCCCGTCTGGCTCGGAGGCTGGATGCTGTCAGCCATGGGCACCGCTTCTTCAAACACCTGCGTGGGATTGAGACAGTTAAGAGTTCAACTTGTTAACGAAACAAAAGTCAGCAAAACTTTTAACTATTTTATTGACAAATTACATCGTGGTCTTCGTCAGAATCGTTTTTCTCATCTGGACTGCCTGAATCTTTTTCGTCTGGACTCTCATCATCGTCATCATCATCCTCGCCTTCGTCAACGCCCTCATCTTCTTCTCCCTCGTCTCTCTTCTGTGGCGTGCCGTCGAACACCCCCTCTTCGTTTTGCACTGACTTTTGTCTGTGGTCTCTTGACTTTCTCTTCCAGAGTGCGCTGTGACGCTGCTGACTGAAAGGACAGATTGACAGTCCTCACACTTCTTCAAACGTTGAAGACGTTAGCACACATACACACACACACACACACACACACACACACACACACACACACACACACGCACACACACGCACACACACACACACACAAACTGTGTGTGATATTTGTGAACAGTCTGAGGGCACACCTGGCGCTCAGGATGCCGCTGTAGGTCTGCAGCTGCTTCATGAAGCCCTCGTTGGGCTTGATGATGGTCCGGCGGTCTCTGACGTAGGCCAGCGCCACGTCCAGAGGCCAGCACTGCTGCTTCATGGCGTAAGCGATCACCGTGGACGCAGATCGAGACACTCCCATCTTACAGTGCACCAACACGGCCTGACCGGTTTTTCTGTAATAAAAGAGGAGTTTGAACACATTTTTATGTTAGATTTGTGAATTTGATTCCCTCCCAGGGATTATTCTGTTCCCTGGGTTTCTCTTTCAGAATTAAAACTAAAAAAGCAGAAGCAGCCTTTTTCCGTTTGACTGTTCTTTCAGTCGGTGGAACTCGGTCTGCATTTGTAGGCACGCAGCAACGACTCCAAACAAAACTGTGTTTTGAGTCAAATGATGTAATTAATGCAGAGAATTATAATAGTAAATATAGCAGACTAAGGACTTCTGTAAAAAGTGTCACTCCAGCTTCATAATTCAGAACTTAATTAAATCTTTGTGTAAACCCTCGGGCGTTTCTCATGATCTAATCTAATGACTAGAAAGGCCCGGGGCTGAAACAGTGATGATACTGATCTAGAGCTACGACTCTTTCTCGTGATCTAATAAAACTCTGAATTAGCAGCACCAAACAGTATTTATAGGAAAAACAAAAAGTGTGTTCTAACAATCCAATTCTGATTTTGTGGAAGAACTGGATGATCAGACTTTATATAGCACGCAGGGTGAAGTTTGATTTATCAAAGGAAGACGTATCGTGACACTAGAGAAAGCCTTTGTCCACAGTTTTATCAACAATTCACAACAGATGACATCACAAGGCACAGGCAAACAGGGAAATAGGTTAACTCAAGTCAAAGTTTGATGAAATCATTTTCAATATTTTGGTAACAATTTAAGGTCTATTGGTAAAAAAAAGTTGTCTAAGAATAAAAAAATTAAACAAGCTTCTGAAGGAATTCTGACTGATTATTTCTTCTCAATGAAAACTAACTTACTGGTTTAAAATGTCACGGAAGGGTCCTTTCATTGTTGCTATATTTTTTTACAATGACCCGTTAGGAGCAATAAAGATTTACTGAAAAACTTTAAGTTCATTGATGCTTTTGGTCATCAACACTGTCAAAACATCTCATAAGCACAATATTGTCTTCATCCTGGTCCAGAGGATTAATAAATCATTTGTACCATCTGCAGTAATATTTTTAGACACAGCTTAATGAAGGCAAACTAATAGTGATAATGTGGTTTTCATTAGGAGTTTTTCTACTTGTGTTGAGAAATGTGTGTTGAAGGAGAATTTCGGCCACAGTTGTGATGCTCCATAAAGTTTATCTTGTCTTATCTTAGTTTTCATCAAACATATAAAACTACAAAATTTGCAATCAGAGTACCGTATTTTTCGTTGTATAAGTCGCAATTTTTTGCCCAATTTGCATGACCTGCGATTTATATGGCGAAGCGACGTATTTATGGATTTTTTCCATTTTTGGCAGAGATATGACGTTTCCATTCATTCTGACTGAAAACGGAGCAGTACCATTTCGGCCACTAGGGGCGCTAGAGGGCCCTCTAAGCTTTTGACGACTACTCGTATACCTGTAGGCATAAAACCATGCCAAAGGAGGAGTTTCCCCCGTGCGTGGTTGTGACAGTTAATGAGAAGGGGTGGATGGACACAGACTTGATGAATGTGTGGCTCACAAAGTGCTACACGAAGCAGCCAGATGGATTTTTAGAGGAAAAAAAAGCCCTCCTGGTGACGGACAGCATGCGTGCGCACATCACGCCGCAATTTAAAGATAAAATTAAAGCATGCAACTCCGTCCCTGCCATCATCCCGGGAGGCTTGACAAAAGTGCTGCAGCCTCTGGACATTTCTGTGAACCAGAGCTTCAAAGCAGCTCTGCGCCGCCTTTGAGAACAGTGGATGGTGGACGGAGAGCACAGCTTCACGGCTACGGGACGGATGCGCCATGCAACGTTCCAGCAGGTCCTCGGCTGGATCGATAAAGCGTGGACCTCAGTCACCACAGAAACGATCCAGTCGGGGTTCAGAAAGGCCATGATGTTAGCTGGAGCTGCAGCTGGAGCTGCAGCTGGAGCTGACACGGAGGAGGACTCTGACAGCCCCAGAGAGGAAGAGGAGGCAGCGCTACATCACCTACCTCAGGAGTTGGCAGAACTCTTCGCCAGCAACACAGAGGATGAAGAATTCAACGGGTTTGAATAAAAAAAAAAAGGCGTTTCTGTCATTATGGGCGGGTGGGTGTGTAGTAATGTTAAAGCCGTTTCATTGCGTCGGCTTCATTTTGCCATGTTTTGACCGTCAAAGTGTATTTATTAAGAAAAAGATCAACTGAGACACGCCTTTACTATAATTTCCAGCAAGCAAATAATTGTTTTTAGGTGTTAATCTTGTTCAATTCTTGTTAAAGTCCTCCCGTGCACGCTCCTGTGGCCGCCATTTGGCAGCAAATCCATTTTTGGCAACACTGGCCCACATTTCCGGGTTGTCAGCGGTGACACATTATAGACGCGACTTATACGGTGGTGTGACGTTTATGGTGGAAAATACGGTAACATGTTCCACCCACAAAAAGCCAAATGTAAATTACTAATTTGTATTAATGTTAAGTAGCCAGCTGAAACATCCACTTTCTTACTGTAGATGAAAACATTGTCAACAGTTGTTTCATTTAATCAAACATGAGGCATCTCTCAGCTCAAAGATGAGAAACAAAAGGGAAACATCTTCAGATTATGTCTACCAGTAGGGCTGCACGATATATCAAAGCACTATCGATATCACAAGTTCAGCGTGCAGAATATCAATATCACAAAGTTTTCTAAAAAATGGCAGACACAACCAGAACACAAAAAAAAAATGTAAATTGTCAATCTGATGCTGTTCAGCCCCACTAAGCGCCCACATCCGGCATGTGGAGAGTGGAGAGCAGTGGTTCCCAACCCTGGTCCTCGAGGAACACCATCCTGTATGTTTTACTCGTTTCCCTGCTCCAACACACCAGATTCAGTGATTTGATTACTTGCTCAAGTTCTGCAGAAGCCTGTTAATCACCCATTCATTCAAATCAGGTGGTAAAGCAGGGAAACGACTAAAACATGCAGGATGTTGGAAACAACTGGTGTAATGAGAGAACATGTTTATATTGTCATCACAAGTCTGTAAAATGACTGAAATCACATGTGTTCCTAATGTTGGGCAGCCCTTCATACCAGCACTTTAAACTTAATATTACCCCGATATATTTTTTTTTTTTCCAAGCATAAAATAAAAAAAAGAACAACTGTAGAATGTAGAACTATGAGAAACTTTCAGTCAGATTGTGGACTGACAGAATAGATGTCTCATATTTAATGTAAGCTATAATCGTTTTAATTTATATCATTTAAGTCCAAGCAAGAAAAAAAAAAACTATACCAGAGCTTGCCAAGTCAACTCCTAAGGAATAACTCCTAAATATGACAGGAGCATGAATAAATATAATAATTAACACTAAAGTAGGTGGTGTTAACTGATACTATAAATATTGCCTGATACTCTTTACCATATTTTCCGCCGTACACGCCGCACTGCCGTATAAGTCGCATCAGTCCAAATACTATGTCTAATAAAGTGAAAAAAAAAAACATAAATATGTAGCTTTGCCATATAAGTTGCATCTATTATGCATCATCGCTGATGCGTCACGTTTGTTACGCGTCACCGCTGACCACCTGGAAATGTGGGCCGAGGACTTTAACAAGAATTTAACAAGATTAACACTTAAAAACAACGTTTGTTCAACTTTATAGCAAAGGTGTGTCTCAGTTGAACTTTTACTTACGGTAGGTTTATATGTTACTCTGAACATGGTGTGGGTGTATCCAAATAAATGTACTGATATAAAAAAAAAACTAAATTCAAATATGATAAGTGTGCATGTACTCAAAAGCACTCTGATTTATCTCCTGGTGTACTGGGTGTTTCTGATCTACCTCGCAGTGTTGATAAAGTTGTATGTGTCCGACCAGTGGGGCAGCAGGTCGGTGGACTCCACATCGTACACTCTGACGTTCATGTAAGTGAAGGATTCTGGGAAAAAATTGTCAATTTCCCTTGTGACGTTCAGAATGTAGCCGACGCTGAAAAACAGACGAGAGGCAGACTCAGAGGCATGTAGTGACTCAGCAAAACTCAGCGTTCTGAATGACATGTTTCCGTGAAACAATAAACCGCACAGATGGACAACAATAAACAGAGCTGCAGCTTGCAGACAACATAAAAACAAAACAAAAAATAAACACCCACTTGTTTTTCTGCAATTCCTCAAAGTTAGCTGCATTCCACTCCGAACCCTGAAACAAGACAAAAAAAGAAAGAGGTTCAATCAGAGACAACTGACGAGGCAGAAAAGGCTGGCAGGGCTGTCAACCCTGTCGACACACAATCACCCACAGAGGGGAAGTTAAAGTCACATGACCACATCCTGGTGACAGCACACTTCTGTAGATTACAGGCCCCAGTAAAAGAAAGACTTCTCTATTACAGCTTTTAACATGAACACTCACCAGGTAAAGGTAATCAAATATTTTGGAGGGCTTGTCCATCTGAGCCATCGTCACCAGGATCTCGTTGTCTATGTACTCCTTGTAGGGTCTCAGTTCAATTCGAATCCTGGTCTCCAGAGCAGAGTGCACCTACAGCAGCAGAAAAAACAACAACACCTTCATCGACCGTTTAAATTTCATTAGAAATGCTTCTTTTCAGAACAACTTTGTGTCTTACCATTTTAGACGTGAGGTTGTCCAGGTCTTCTGTCCTCATGATGTCCCTCAGATGCTCTTTGATGAGTCTTTCATTGGAAACTCTATCTGCGGAGCTTTTGTTGTACAAGAAAAGTTAAGCTTTAGTCCAAGTTGATATGTATACATAAGCAATAGGAGAACATAAATTTATTTCCATTTCTGTGTGGTGATGAATTGTAACATCTATTCAAGCACCCTGCTTGATTTTATCACCGAATAGTAAACAATTTTATTTTACTTGTATGGATATACATAGATCTAACTAGCTAATAATGCATTGTTACAAATTTAACTTCATTCGTTCCTTTAAGTAGCTTGAAAAGCTCCTATTGATCAGCCTAAATTGTTTTTCTACTAAATGAAAATCCAAATAAGTAGTTCTATACTTCTACTTGGTTAAGATTTTAAATGCATATTTGTAGAGGAAAAGCGACACAAAGTTCTCCTTTTAGCTTAGTAACAGCCTGAAAAATGCTCTCTTGGTACAACGACACTCAAACAAGAAATGTTTCTTACTTCTGTCCATTACTGTCCCTGCGGACCGACTCCAGGTCATTCATGGCCTCCCACTCGTTCAGGCAAAGGCGATCGGACTCGATGTGCTGGTGGTAGTGCTGGGACCACTCCAGCCCACTGCCTGGGATCACAGCTGATTTGACCGCCCGCTCGCAGCAGCCATGCAACACCTGGAGGATGGACCTTACACAAGTGGGGATGGGGTAGAGAAATAATTTAGTATCAATATGTCCATCTGAACAGTAAAAATATTTAAAAGGGTCTACAGGGGCCTTCTCTCTGGTGGTCTGCTACAAGAAGACAGCAGAGGTGTGTGCACAGCCAAGATTCAGATCCCATCACTCTGAGCACATTTAAAGGTGGGTTGAGGGTGATGTGCACGTTTCTAAATCTTAAATGACTTGTCCTCTACTGATGAAACTCAACAGCACAGTTGCCAGAAATCCCAGCAGACTCCCTACAGGACTCTGTTTTCCCTTTAGACCAGAGGTGTTCAGTTAAAACTCGCTGAGGTCCAGTTACTAAAATTTCTCCTAGTAAAAGGTCAGAACGAAAGTCCAACATTTGTCTTTTATTGTCTTGTCTATCTGTAGTCACATTTTCACAGTTAACAAACTGCACTTTATAGTAAACAACGAGCTCTTTTACCATATTTATAAGTAGTCCCAGACAAATACATGTAGGGCCTTTATTTCAGAATAAAACTGAAAGCTCAGAATAAAATACATCTTAAATGTGCAAACAGAGACTAATAAGCTGTTTTCTCTTAAACTGAAGAGGTCCAAGCCTAAAGAATTGAAGGTTTACACTTAAAGTAAAACAGTTAGCAGCTTTAGAAAACAGAAAACAATTAAAAAAGTGGCTCTTTTAGAATAAAAAAAAAGTGTAAATAGAGCAAGAAAATTCTTTTTTTCTTGCTTAAAGAGGCAACAACCTATAAAAATTTAAGTTTTCAAGTAAAACACTTCAGGAAACAATAAATTCAAATGACTCTTTTAGGAAACAACTGAAAACAGAGCATTTAACAACACCTTTTCTCTTTTGATTATTTGTTTTACTTTTCTTAAATGGACATGGGATTGTCCTGCCTGTAAGTTAAATCTTGGTTAGTATGGAGTCAGAGAATGTATTGAGCATTAACATCTGTAGTCGTCAATGACTCTGAACAGCTGCAGCTGTGCCAGCACATCATCTGCTAATATTTCTGATTTTCTGCATGCTGTTGAAGCTGACATCGGATTTGTTTGATTTTTTTCGCACATCTTGTCTTTTTGTTTTCCATCAACTGTCTCAGCAACAGCATTTAAGCACTTCCTTCACTACTGTTCCGTCACTAAATGTTTTATGTTGCTCCAAAATCCACGATCCTTGAGTGAACTTTCAGCAGCTGCTGGGCTGTAAAAGTATTTGTGATGAGGAGGGTGGATCTTTCATACTGGGCTTGCAGTTCGGTTAATTTACTGCTCTCTGCTCGGACTTCAGCAGATACCGTTGCTCAAAAGAGACTTGAAAAGCGTTTCACGTTGCCACTTTTAATTAATGCGACTGTTTCAGAGCATATGAGGCAAACAGGTTTTGAACTGCCTGCTGGAAGAATGAACATTAATTTCTCTGTCCATTCATCTTTAAAACAGCGGTTTTCAGCATCAACTTTTCTTATTTTGGAGCACGACATGCTGTCTCTTCCTCTCTGTTCCTTCTCAACTCTTCTCTGGTGAGATCATCTGCACCGGCCGTGCATGGACAACAAGAGATTCGATTGGTTCATTAACTGAGTGACGCTAATACTGTAACACCTGAAGTAGAGTGAACCTCCAAAACACACCTCCCATGGCTCTGCACCTAAACTGTCTATCACTGGAAAAATGCTCCATGAAAATCATCTGTTTTCCTGAGTTTATTGGGCACTGGTCTGGACAAAACCATCGCTTGGTCTGGATCCGGACCGAGGTCTGTCTATTAGTGACCTCTGCTTTAGACCCATGTTAATGTTTGGTGTAAACACGACCATCAAAGATGTCTGTTGTTTAGAGAATAGTACTATTAGTATTTTCCTGTGTGTCTTTTGTAACCTACCGGTAATTACTTCTGCATATGTTGACTATGAAAACATTCAACTCAAGATGAGTGATGTGACTTTTAGTTTGCGTAACTTTTATACCACTCAGACCATTTAACTTTATTTACAAATAGTATTCCCATATAAATATACTGAGATCTTCAGAATCAGAATATCTTTATTGTCACTATATCAGCAGGTATAACAAAATTAAGATGCCCCACTTTGGGGTGATACAGACAAAACAAAAATTTAAAGAAACTAAATAAAAAATAAAAATGAAAAGAGACATGATAAAAAAAAAACCAGTTACACCTAACAGACCTTATGTCAATAAACACGGTTAGAAATACTGTTAGATTGCACAACAGCTCCAGAGCAAAAATTGCACATTGCTCTTCTATCAGTGAATAGTAAAATAGTAAAATAATAAAATGGTGAATAGTAAAATATTACACGGTCCCATGTTCTATTTAAAATGGGTATAAAAACAGAGTTTATAATAGGTTATTTAGTGCCCGAACTGCCGTCGGGTAAAAGCTATTTCTGAGCCGATTGGTCCTTGTTTTAATAGTTCTGTACCGTCTGCCTGATGGTAATAGCTCATAGAGATGTGACTGGGGTGGGAACCGTCCATAACAATTCTGTGAGTTCTCTGAAGACAACGAGAGCTGTGGAGGACAATTCCTTCAAAAACACTCTTCTTTATAAAACCTGCTTCCGCATACTTGATTTAATTTAATCTTCTTATGCTACTTTTAGTTTGGATTAAGTCTTAGCTTTCAGCTAGCTTTTTGCTATTTTTAGATTTCAGCTAGACTGTTGTTGCTTTTAGCCAAATGCTGTGCTGCTTTTAGGTAGTGCTTACTGTTTTTAGTTTTTCTCTAACCTTTTTGCTACATAAGGTTTTATTTTAATTCACGTTGCAAATTCTCAGAAACGGCACTTATCTCTCGTTATTTTTTGAGATGTAATTTGGTCCAACTTGGTGAAAGAATTGACAGATAGGTTAGAAATAAAGAGGAGTGACACGCAGTAAACTGCTCGAGGCTGGAACCAAATCTGGACATGTTGAAAGCTTCTGTACACTTGGTGAACATTCTAGCAGTGGAGGTGTAAGAAGAGTTTTAGCTTTACTACTTCAGTTCCAGCAACACTTACCACATGGTCTGCATGGAAACTGGCTTAAAAATTCTGGTTTCCTCTGCTGACGTCACGCTAAAACCACTACGGAGGATGAAAAAAAAAGAGACAGATTTCTGATAAACATTATAAGACCAAAAATAGTCAGCTACAGAAGATAGAGACAAAATATTCAGTGTAAATTTGTAATATTTCCAGAGGATAAAGTGACAGATGAGTCATGTGAGGGCAGTGAGAAGGATAAAATCTAACACTGTGAGAGGTGAGAGCCAGCCTGATGGGGTGAGTGTGTTCATATTGCAATGCAACCCATCAAATCATCTTGTATGACATCCTGATGCATGCTCAATAATCCAAGTAGAAAAATCCAAAAAAGTTCAATCTGGTCCTCTGGACATTCAAAAAAATTTCTGAATGTCCAGAGGACCAGATTGAACTTTTTTGCATCTTGTATGACACTCAGCATTAGTTCAAACACAGCAGGCAGCAGGCAGCACAGTCCTCACACCATGTTAGCTCAAATGTTTTTAGTTCTTCACATCGGCCTCCCCTGTGTATCAGCAGACATTTTAAGTAAAGAGGAGCTGACTGGTGCAACTTACAGTCATTAAACTACACAGTGAGTTGTAATAGAGCTACAATCAACATGTTTAGATAAATTACAACCACATTGTAGTAAAATTCAGCCGTTCAGCAGCTGAACTCCCACTGCAATTGTTGTACAGACACACTAAGAAGCCAACTCTCCTGTACTCCCATTTCACTACAACAACACATTTAGTGTTTATGTAAGAGTCCAAGTCAGTGAGCGTGTGTAATTTATAGCAAATGATTCAGCCCTATAAATAACACATTGTCTCTGGAAGGAATCCCAGACAACAATGCTGCAGCCTCACTACTCTCATGTCACAGATGAACTTTTAAATCACCCTTACCCGTCTCCGTCCAGGTACACTTGTGTGTCGCTCCATATTGGCAGAACCAGGCCAATGGTGCACTGGTTGCTGCAAAGATACACAAGTAAGGAATTTAAACGTACCAAAGTTAAATCAGAAAATAGGCCCCCCCACCCCCCCGAGAAGAATCATGCACCGTTTGTGAAACAGAACCTCTCTGGGTTATGCACACCTGTCTGCGTTGGGGAAATCGACGCCCAGCAGAATGCTTTCTTGTTTGCTGCTGGTCGTGGAGACGACGATCAGATACCTGACTCTGACCAGGCTGACCGACTCCAACTGCACCGCCTGCATGCCAGAGTACAGAGAGGGACAAAGAACAGCAGGAACCTGAGAGAAGTCAAGTGAGGACAGCAGAATAAACGTGCTTTTAATGCAACACGAGGCCTGAAAGTACCCAACAAGTTAGTCGGATTGCATGCAGTACACCCTCAGTGGATTGATTTTTGTATTATTAGGGAGCCTTGGGAAAATGAGGTGAGGAAAGATGCTCTGTTCAAATAGAAAACACAACAACAATAAAAGTGCTAATGTTTTCTAAGATGTCACACATGACACAGATGTGTTGTTACTTTCCACAACCAAGTCTCTAACAAAAGTAATACAGTTTTTAGCAAAAATTACAGATTACGTGTTAAACTGGTCACCTTTTATACAAACGTATTCATTAACAAGAACAGAGACGTTTATATTTCAGTGAACGTGGGTTTAACGACTTTATATTTGTAGTAAATGGAATGAAACAGACTACAGGTATAGTTTTTATACATGACATTTGACTGCCTTAAGTCTTAATTTGACTGTCTACAAGTTCACCCACTGCAGTACAAGTATACACAAAATACTCTTAACAAAATCAAGCTACACTGATTATCAGATAAAGCAGTTCTAATACGTGTAGATGTGAATACACTTGTGGTGTGTAACAAAATGTCATGCTTAGTCCCCGGACAGTAGCTTAAAAAGTTTTCATTGTTGATTTTACAACAGCAGTAACGGGCGAGTTTAAAGAAGATTTATTGTGTGTTCTTTCAGTGTTTTGTTGCTTTTTGTGTCTGTGAAAGTTTGGTAAAGTTAGAAAGCTCAAATTTAACACCCTGGGGAAAGGAGGTGTTCTGTTCCTGGACTCCCTGAAAGCCTCATTTGTTGTCTCCACTCTTCTCCTTTTACTTAACGTCACCCAATCACATCACATCACATTACATAACTGATTCATAAAAAGTTTTACACGCCTGGAGCAAGAGAGGGAGGGATTTTTGACCTAACCTTCTACCAATCAGAGAAAATTTGGTCTTCGAGGCTTTTATAGAGTCAGGAGGTGAAACTGTGCAGTTTCGACATAAAGCGCCAACAGATCTCTGCAGCTGCACAACATGAACAAAAAATGTGTAAAAAAATAGTTGGGAGGGCGGCACGGTGGCGCAGTCGGTAGAGCTGCCGCCTCTCAGCGAGAAGGTCGCCAGATCGAATCCCAGCCAGGGGACCTTTCTGGGTGGAGTTTGCATGTTCTCTCTGTGCAAGCGTGGGTTTTCTCCGGGTACTCCAGTTTCCTCCCACAGACCAAAAACATGCATGTTGGGCTGATTGGTAACTCTAAAATGTCCCTAGGTGTGTGAGAGAGCGAGAATGGCTGTTTGTCTCTTTTGTCTCTATGTGTCCCTGTGATGGACGTGCGACCCATCCAGGGTGTCCCCCACCTCTTGCACAGTGTCTGTATTGGGTACCAGTGACCCCCGTGACCCGAAAAGGAAGAAACGAGTAAAGATGATGGCTGTGGCTGAGTGGTTAGAGCAGTTGTCCTACAATGCAAGAGTTGGGGGTTTGAATCCACCAGGAGTCACATGCCAAAGTGTCCCTGTGTAAGACACTGAACCCCTCATAGCCTCTGATGTGTGCCCCATCAGTGTATGAATGTGATAAAGCTCTGATTAGTCTCATTAGAATGATTTGTTCAATCAATCTTTGTAGAGATCTAGTAGAGTGCTGTATGAATGGATAAATGAGGACACAGATTGTTGTGTAAAGTGCTTTGAGTATCTTGATAAGATAGAAAGGTGCTATATAAGTACAGCCCATTTACCATTTACCTGCAAATGATAAAATTAGTAACATGCTAGTGTGCATTTTATGGGTTCTTCATGTAAATAAGACTGTATTGCGCTATTACTTAAAACTGCTCTCAAATGTGGCTTCATTCACTCTTATTTCCTGAGTATGGAACCTCTTTTCAACCCGTCTGTACCTTGAACATGTACCTGTACACTCAGCTGTGGAACCTCTTTCATCCTATCTGTAGCTAACAAGCATCATAAGAGTGGTCTAATTGTTTGCAGAGAAAAAATCATTACAAATGAATTTTAGCTTGAGGCCCTGAAATGGGGCAATGAGTTAATAAAGTAAAGGAATAATGTTACAGCGTGCGGTCTCAGAACATCATTACCTGCAGCGTTCCCTCAGTGCAAACTGAACTCAGCAAAAAGGCCTTTTCTTACTCTGCTCCTGTAACCTGGAACACCTGGCAACAAGATCTGAAGCTGTCCACTTCAATTTCTTTAAGGGATTTTAAACATTTGATAAGGTCATTAGAAAAATCTAAGCCAATATGTTCTTGTTTTTAGTATTATACCTTGTTTTATTTGGCACTTTGATTTTATTGCTTATATTACACTATTGTTTTTATTGTTGTTTATTATTGTACTTTATATGTTGCCTGTCTAAAACAGGTTTCGCTTGAAAATGAGTCCTCGTGACTCAATGAGACTACCTGTATAAATAAAGGTTAAATTATTATTATTGTTAAAAGCAGTCAATGGAAAGATGCACAGATTCTTACCTAGTCATTAAATTATTTATGTTACATCAATAAAAACACAAGATCAATACTTGCTGCAGAACATATCATCTCCTGTGAACAGGATACATTAAAAAGCAACAAGATTTACAACCAGTTGGACACAGCATTACCACTTAGATGACACCACACACACACACACACAAACCTTTCCCCGTGACATGTTTCAGGTTTAACTAAACTGATTTACAACATGCGTGCAGCCTCGAGGGCTCACCAGTTTGATGGTATCTTCTGGTCTCAGCTGTTCAAACATGGCGCGGAGGTGTCTGTGCCGTGCGTTCGACGCTCCAATGTCTTTCTTCTCCGGAGAAGTTGCTGTGGAAGACGTGTCCTCGCTGCAACAGTTGATTTCGCCATCTTCCAGCAGAACAACTGCCCCTTTTACGAGAGCAAAGCTCTCTCTGGAGAAATGGACAAGTCAGGCGAACGCTGCTTTCGCTGCCATTTTGTTAAACATGTAGATAAACAAGTTTGAAGGTGACATGGATGAATATTGACCTTTTTTGAAGTCTCCCTCTTCTCTGGAGGCTTTCATCCTTCAAAATACAATAATTTAAAAGAAAACATTTCAGAAGAAAAACAGAAGAAAAAAAAAATACAGCTCCTAATGTGTTGAATTGAAGTTTATGCACAAATATTTGCGTGCATTTTAGGGATAGAATCGTTTTAGAATTACAGTAGTCTTTTTACAATTTCTGCAAACTTTTAAATTTGTGTTAAATGTAAAAACATTGGATGCAATGATCCACATCATTTCTAATGCTCTCAACATTTGCAGTTCTTACTTACTAACGACTATCTTTTAAGGAAGTACCACACTCCATTTCCTAGGAGCACTGGAAACAGTTATTGTCTTTCTTTGGTGTTGTTGAATGTGTGAACACATACAGCAGGACAAAATGTTCAGTAACTTTACGGGCGACAAGCAGCACAACTCGGACAAGACAAACAGAAGATGTGACGTACATTTCAAAATAGAAGCTGAACGTGGAACAAACAAGTAAGAAGTGATAAAAGGAGGAGTGTGGAGGAAGAAAGAAAAGAAGCAGTGAAACTGGTAAGAGTTTACAGGGAAAGAAACTTGAGACAGTAACATTACCTTTTACGCAACTGACAAGTCCAGACAGAGTCAAGAAAAAAAATAAATAAAGAGAAGTGGGCAGGAGCCAGGAGAGGAATGATGAGGGGGTTGAAGAAGAAAAAAGGAGAGAAAACACAAGTTAAGATAGTTGGGTGATTAGATTATGTGACAAAATATGCAAAGAATGAGACTTGGATCCACAGTTGAGCCATTTATGGTTCGGTGAGCCATGATAAAAAAATAAATAAATAAAAACAGGGAAAAAGCCTTCAACATAATATTAAATCATTTTTATGACCAGTGAGACAGCATGAAAGAAGAGAAGATAAGAAGACAGAGCTAATAAAAGTCCTGATGCATGCTCAATAATCCAGGTAGAAAAATGTAACCAGGTTGAGTCAAGTCCTCTGGACAGATTCTTTGTTGAATCGGTTTGCCTTTTACCCAAAAACACTTCTTCAGACGGAAGAAGAATCCGTCTAGAGGATCTGACTCAACGTTGTCAGACTAATGAGGGTGTTATTTGATTATATGTAGACTTAACAGTTAACAAAGAGCACTTAGACAGACATAAGGTGATTTGCTGTGTTGAATGGAGGCTAAATCACAGTATCTTGGATAAGAGTTAGTGGAATCACAACCAAAAATAAAGCTGCGTCATAATTCTTCAGGCAAATGTGGTGCTGGTGTCTGCAAAAGGACACATTCAACGCCTTCTGCTTTTCACACGGGCTTTACAAGATCTCAGCACAAACGGCTCTTGTGCAATGTCCTGTTTTGTGCGGTGACGACAACAACTTTATATCTGTAGATACAATGCTTGCGTCCAACGAGGCACGAAGATGACTAGACTCACGGGATCGGTGGAGATGGATGGGAGCCTATGCAAGGTCAACAGAGCCATTGCACAGTGCAGGTCTCTTCCAACTAAGCTGGTGGATTCTGGCAAGCCCAGACAGGTTCTGCAGGTTCCTTTGCCAACAGTGAGTCGTTGGAGATAGTTTTTATTTTCTGAAACAACAAAGACATACTTAACTTAGATTATGTCCAATGAATAAAATTGGTCATAAATCAGATGTTTGATTAAAGGAGTTTGTTTTTTTTTGTATGAAATCCTGCACATTTTTTTTTACACTAGAGCTTTAACTGAACAGATGAGAATAAATCCAGAATACTGTACATTAAGTTAGATTAAAACTTTGTATTTACGGTAACTGAATGCAACGTGTGTGTGTATTAAACTGGTTTTGTTTAGTTTTAAGTTAAAAAGAATGGAAATATAATACAAAAGTTTGTATACCTCAAGAAATTTGAGCTTTGGAAATTTCACAAAACTAATTACTGCGGTAAGAAAGATGTAAATAAATTTTGCCAGGAAAAAGACAAATAGGAGATATATGGATGCAGTTAAGAGAGAACATGGAGGTAGTGGGAGTGAGGACAGAGGATGCAGAGGACAGAGTGAGATGGAGGAGGACGACTCGCTGTGGTGAGACCTGAAGAGGGAAAAGATGACAGAAAAAGCTTTAATATGGTAAGACTACGGCTTGTTGGCAATCATTCAACTGAAAGGCAAGATGATTTCCATACATATTCCAAATCCTCGAAATACATCTCAACAACAATCAGCAGACACAAACTCCAGCAGAAATCTGCATTTTTCTCTGAAATATATCTAATTTCTTTAAAAGCATGAGAAGTTGCTTGCAGGATTGCTGAAACGCAAAAGAACTTTCTTCTATCATAAAAATTATTTACAGTCACATCCACGTCACAGATGTTGTGACTAGACTGACAAAAGCAAAATGGCTTAAATAAGCAAGATATTTGCTAAATAAATAAATAAAGTCTGTATTTTCTTTAAAAAGCATCTCTCTAAAAGCATGAGGGTGGTATAATCATGCTGTGGGGTTGTGCTGGCACCAGTTCCACAGGGAACAATGACCACTGCCACAGAGATAAATGAACTAAGGCCTTTACAACAAAGAGCATGAAACCAAAACATCCATCCGTTTTCTTTTACCCGCTTCTTCTACTTTTGGGTCACGGGGGTCACTGGTGCCCATGTCCAGCAATCACAGCGCGAAGGGCAGGGTACACCCTCGACAGGTCTCCAGCCCATCACAGGGACACATAGAGACAAACAACCATTCACTCTCTCACTCACATTTAGGGACAATTTAGAGTTACCAATCAGCCTAACGTACATGTTTTTTGGTCTGAGAAGAAACCGGAGTACCCGGTGAAAACCCACGCATGCACGGAGAGCACATGCAAACGCCACTCAGAAAGATCCCCGGTCCAGGATTTGAACCAGGGTAGCCTGCTCGCTGAGAGGCAGCAGCTCTACCAGCTGTGCCACCGTGCTGCCCCAAACCAAAACATAAAATGGAAATGAATTAATGTGGTAAGAATATGGCTTGTTGAGGACTAACTCAGAAAGTCAACAACTAAGAGGTTCTTTGTTACAAAGTACTGATCATGCAGATTGCCCATTTTTTAGGCGTTTTCCCTTGTTATTTAAACAAATAAAAGTAAAATTACTGTAAATATTTGATATAATTCTGTTTTGAATTATTATTATTATTTATATGCACAACTCTCTCTAGCAGAAATCTTGACTAGTGATGCTTTATAGGTTTTCTTGACTAACATACTTCTTGTCATACTGGTATCAGCAGGATGGAAGGGACGGGGATTGCTACATCAGTCAAATAAATACCAATGGATGTCAGTGGTAATGACTGACAATTATTTTTCTAACAAGCAATAAATCTATAAAAATGTCACATGAAGTGACATTTATTTGCACAGATGTCCCTTTAAAGATATACATAAATGCTTTGTTCATTATATGGGGATGCCACTGGTGACTAATTATTTACACCAGGACCTAAAACATCATTAGACAAATGCAAAAATCAGAGGATTTTAAACAAATGAGCATATTATTAAGAGTTTACTTTAAAGCTATTTAAAGGACTTCTCGCAGATGGATAGAAAGCAGACTTGTGGCAAAGGTAAACACGAATAAAAATCGACCAAAAACAATCAGGTGTAGAATTACAGGGAAGTTTACACAATCAGTGACACACAAAGCAGAGAGCACCGTTAAAACAAATTAAAGTCACCCTGGGTCTGCGCAGGCAACCACTGCATTATAAGGGGAAAGGGCTCCTTCTAATAAAATACTGATTTTGCATCGCAAACAGGTCAGCCTTCGCTTTAAAGAACGTTTTATTATTAAGTAATGAGCTCAAATTAACCCCGTGGTTCAACACAGCTAGCAAACTCAAGCAACAAAACAGCGACGCTTCATGGATGTTGAAGCACACCAAGCTAACAGACGAAGCCGTGACACGTTCAAAGACAACATGGATATGTGTCACTTACAAAAAAACGGGTCCTCACCTTCCCAGTCCGGGTCCACCACTATAATTTCCTGTTTGTTGGTGCCTTGGTCTGTCTTCCGTACTGCGAGCTCCTAATTCCGCCCTCTGCTGCTGTCGAGGGAGAGGACTTCACCATTTACAGCTCGGCGGCCCGCCGCTGCTGCTGCCTCAAACCGGGCGCAGTTCACGCAAACCAACGAGCAGGCGCGAGAGCCTCGGGGGCCGTGACGTCACACGCAGAGGAAACGTAAACCCAGAACAATATTTAACAGCTTTGCCAGACACACGTGTCGTATTTATATTATAGTGTTAGGGATACGATACTATAAATAGTTTTTAACCCCTCCAAAATAGACGAGCCTTGGAATTTCCGCTCACCGTTAGCTGACAACACGCATCTTCGCGGACAGTACAATATTTCGTGATTCCCTATCTGGCAACCTTGCTATTTATTCCAGTACAAGTTCACTGAATCTCCTGAAAATCAAATGAAATCAACATAAGGTCAACAATGCAATGAAATGCTCAGGACGAGAAGAACCGTCTCGACCCCCCCCCCCCCCCCCAAAAAAAAAAAACCCCACCAACAAATACCAAAACATGCAACAAAAACAAGATGCCAAAAGTGAAAAAGAAATCTACAGCAGCACAGTTCTATTAAGTAGTATAAGTATTAGTAGAGTGGTTCTGTTGGCATCTTGCATTACTTAACGCCATAAAAGGGAGTACTGTGCTCCAAATGAAATTGCTATATTCGACTCAGTTCTTCATCTTCTTCTTTCCGTGGCTCCCTTCCTCAGGGGTCACCACAGCGAAATAAGTCGCACGAAGACGTTGCATTTATTTTTACGTCAAATGCCCTTCCTGACGCAACCACAGGCCACCGAGCTACCACAGCCCTCTGTGTGGAGCAGAGAGCTGCCATCTAGGGCACCGAGGGAGCAGATGGTGGGGGTTAAGGGCTTTGCTCAAGGGCCCAGATTGGGGCAAATGAGGATGGAGACAAGTGTGGGTGCTTTGCCTGACACACCCACATGACTTCAGCTCAGTAAAAGTACTAAATTTAGGTTAAAGACACGCACACAAATTATCAGATGATATCTGACTTCACTACTCTTCAGTGTGCAATTAGGACAATTTTGTTAGAGCTGACAAGCCACTCTAGATTGCTAAAACAAGATAAAAAATAAAAACTGTAGTAGATTTCAGTTGGGTAACATTAAAAGTCAAAACACATGATTCAAATAACGTTCAAACTGAAACTGTCCAGTAATGAGTTACACGTCTCTCTTGTAAATGAGTCCTCATGACTCACTGAGACTAACCTGTATAAATAAAGGTTGAATGAATGAACAAATGACTCTTGCACCCGACAAATAAAGGCCATTCAGAAATGTGGCCCTTTAGAAAAAGCGATAATTTGAACAATTTTGTATTAATATGCAGCAATTATTCCCTGTACAAGGGCTGACTGGGGCAAACACATTCATTACAGCAAAATGACCATAACTATTGGTGGTGGGGTGATCAGTATAAAACCTATTTATTTGATGCTTTAGCTTGGCTGACATCATGATATATATTATTTACAGAAAAGTAGCAGTGCATTGTTGACACTACAATACCACAAGGAACAGCACTTCACCTTGCTCAGATGCTTCAGTTCTGTCAGTCACATCTTGTAGGCTTGAATATTGTTTTAACAGTGTAAAAGATTGGATCAACTGAAAGTCTGATATATTGAATGGATCTAAATGAAACTAAATAATAGCTCCTAATCTTAATGGCATTAATCAGTGTATTTAATAATGTCCTTAATAAACTATGTCAATGGATTTAAGAGTTTTGTTTTAACACAGAATAGAAAATAATGACAAAACTATTAAAAAAAATTTAATAAAACGTGTTAAACATTAGTTTCTTATCAGTCGGTGTTTTCTAACCATATAAATGTTGCATCACATACTTCACTCGGGTCACCGAGTGTTTACTGTCCGCTCCTTGTTGCCTGAGTGAAACCCTAGTTTCAAAAAATGGCACAACGTGACGTCTTACAGGCCCTAAACTGTTAAGTCATATTTAAAAATAACAAACTTTCTTAACAAAACTGGCTCTCCTTAACCAGACAGTGGTGACTTTAACCGTTGACTTTGAACTCGACAGGACCACGCTCTCGCGCAGGGTTAAAAGCTCCACGCATGCGCACTACGATTAGCACTTCCTGTATTGGTGTGTAGTTCTCCGCTCTGACGTTCGAGTAGGCGAAGCTGCAGCAGGCGACTATTTTCACCCTTTTCTGTCCAAAGAGAACTTTAAACTTAATATCGTGCTTTAAACTGTTACTGAAACCAGTCGGTGTACGGATGAAGGTTTACATTACGAGGCGCATCCCGCCGGAGGGGATGGAGGTCCTGTCCGCGGCAGGAGTGTACGAAGTTTTTCTTTTTAACGGTTAACTCTAAGTTTCATGTTTGACACTGAATGAGCAGCATTATAAATTGAGAAGAGACGTGGTTATACCGACTATGCTTTCCCCCTCTCTCCCCCAGATAGTCTCTATACTTAGAGTTGAGACTCAACTTGCCAGAAAAGCTATTTTGAGATGTAAATGTTAAAAGGCCAGTCCCCTCTGGTCTCGTATAAAGCCTTCCACGCATAGCCAGCTTTCTGCACTAGTAGAAATGTCAGCCCATATTCTATAATTGTTCCAAATCATGCTTTATCTCCTTGTCTTGTCTCCATGGAAACAGCTGTGAGGTGTCTCAGTGGGACTCGGATGAGCCTGTTCCCAGGACGGAGCTTCTCAAAGGGGTTCAGGGAGCTCATGGTCTTCTGTGTTTGCTGTCTGACAAGGTGGATGCTGAGGTTCTAGATGCTGCAGGTACTCCTAAACTCTCTGACTTGGATTCAAGAGGGTAGGACTGGGGAATTTGACTGATTAATCGTGCGGTTTAAGATGGTTTGGACATGTCCAGAGGAGGGACAGTGGGTATATTGGCAGAAGGATGTTAGAAATGCAGCTGCCAGGAAAAAGACAAAGAGGAGAAATATGGATGCAGTTAGAGAGGACATGGAGATAGTTGGAGTGAGGACAGAGGATGCAGAGGACAGAGTGAGATGGAGGAGGATGACTCCTGAAGAGGGAAAAGCTGAAAAAAGATGAAGAAGAATCATGCAGTTTAAATTGCATTATTAAGCGGAAGATGATGATTTTATGATACTTCACACAAGGATTTTCACACAAGTCCCAGTTAGAAATTGAAGCTGCTCTATTGGAAAAATAAATTGCACCATGTAGTTTTATTTATTGACTACAAATAGTCAGTTTCGGTGATAAAAGTATGTAAACTTTTGTTTGTTTTCAGCATTTGCTGTAACCTTAGTGCAGCGAAATTTTCATTCAACCTTTATTTAGACAGACAAGTCACATTGAGCCTAGAAGACTCATTTACAAGGGAGATCTGTTTAGACAGACAAAAAGTAGTGAAACTGGACACATGTAGGAATTGGAGGCGAAAAAATTCCTATTAAAATTTTTCTTCTTGGCTGAGAAGAAAAACTCTAATATTAAAAAACACCTTGCACAAACAAGCACATAGTGACATAGACATTTCGCATGTCCAAAACATGTCTCATCTTTGGGACTTTGGAGGAATTCTTCACACAAGCTGCTTACTTAAACTCCTGACAAAACCTTCCTTTTAGATCAGCTTCAAGATTTTGACTAAGAGTCAATTTAATGCTTTCCGTTTAGGTTGGAAATCATCTTACGTACATATTCTCCACCTTAAAAGTAGTTTTTGAGATGTCTTTGTTGCATTAGTGATAGTAAACAGTTATGGCACAGATGCAGCTAATGTTCAATTCATAATACTACCACCACCGTGTTTCACACATATGTCTTCTAACTTAACCTTATTAGTTTTACTTACATCTGTTTTTTTTTTTTTTTTACTCCTCTTCCTTAAATCTTTAATCTTTGGATAATTTTAAAGAACATTAACTTTTTTCTTGCAGTGTCTGCGCCATAACTTCCTCCAAACACTGGGTATGCCGATCATACAATTGCCAAGTTAAAAACAACTGACTGTACTCCTACCTTAATATTACCTGAGTAATTAAAGTTATTTAATTAAACTGACATGCTTTGTGATTGACAAATGTATAGTCATTTTCCACAATAAGCAAATAAACATTTACCTTAACATGTACTTTAAGTGCTTGAACCAAATTGGGACGATGCTTTTAGGTCATATGAATACAAACTTTCAAGTCTCACTTGTTGTCCTTTTTAAACATTTACCGTGTTTTTCGGACTATAAAGCACGCCAGATTATAAGGCGCAATATCAATGAACGGGTCTGTTTTCATACATAAGGCACACCGGATTAAAATGCGCATTATATGTATATATTATATATGGAGGCCAAGATGGTGTAGGGGCAGGGCAGTCGACTCGGGACCCAAAGGTCCTGTGTTCGATCACCGGTCATTGCACATCTCGTGATGTCTCTGAGCAGGACACCTTATTCCCAGTTGCTCTCCAGGTGCCCTCCATAGCTGCCCATTGCCCCACCCGGTGGTGGATGGGTTAAAAGCAGAGAGCCAATTTTGTCATTGTATGGGAACATACAATAATGACAATACATAATACTCACTTATTAAGCAAAACAAAACGGTCGGATCGGTTTTTTAAAAAATTAAAGGATTTTAAGTGCGCCTCATAGTCCAAAAAAATATAGTAGTTGCCAATTTGTCCATTTAGTTTTTCAGCAGGGTATGAGTTGGCATATAAAAAGTAACAATACTGTGTCTTTTTAAAGAAAAAGGTTGACATTTAGCAGTTTTTACAGATTAAACTACAGAAACAATTGATACTGACAACTGAAACTTGAGCTGGAACTATTATTTTGATATGGATTAGTCTTTAACACTATTTATTTTATATTTAACCTAATGAATATTGTCTTTTTGTTGCACAGGAGCGCAGATTAAAAATATCCCAGTGGTTATTGTGTCTACATTTCAGTTGACCTGTCTCTGATTTTAGGTCCAAACCTGAAAGTAATCAGCACTTTGTCTGTGGGATTCGACCACCTGGCTCTGGATGAGATCAAGAAACGGTGAGCTGGACTAACACAATCTGATGTGCAAACAGATGTGTTTTATACCTGTTTACTCTACCCAGGGGGATACGTGTTGGATACACTCCAGACGTCCTGACTGATGCCACTGCAGAGCTGACCGTGGCTCTGCTGCTCGCCACCGCCCGCAGATTACCGGAGGGTGTGGAAGAGGTCAAAAGGTCAGCCTCACCAAGTTATTCATTGATGCTAATTATTTTTTATATTTGCCTTTCTGTTACTTTTTAACCCCAAAAGGAAACAAGTGCTTTCGATTAGTGATTCAATGGACGTGCTGTTTTGTTCTTCTCAGCGGTGGCTGGAGCTCGTGGAAGCCTCTCTGGCTGTGTGGTTATGGTCTGTCGGGCAGCACTGTAGGAGTCATTGGACTGGGACGCATTGGTTAATTTTATTACTTTATACGCGCAACCTCATTATCTCAGGACACGTTCTAATATTCTTGAGACAACCTTCTGCAGTTTACACCTTTCTTTGTGTTCAGGTATGGCCATAGCTCAGAGGCTCATGCCGTTTGGAGTGAAAAGGCTGCTGTATTCTGGGAGATCAGCCAAACCCCACGCTGCTGAAGTGAACGGAGAGTTTGGTGAGACGATGCTGAAAGAGAAATGGGGATGATAAGAAACGCGGTGAAGCCTAAAGAGCCAGACCTGAAGTTATAACGAAAGAGTTGGTTAAAAATGTTTCTGTTAGTAGATGTGCATATGTAATAATCCGTTTCCTCCCTTTCCTCCTTTAACGCCCGTCCGTCTCGTCTTTGCCGAACAGTTCCCCTGGATACGCTTGTGTTCGAGAGTGACTTTATAGTTGTTTCCTGCTCACTGACACCAGAAACCCAGGGCCTGTGTAACAAAGCTTTTTTCAGCAAGATGAAAAAGACAGCAGTCTTCGTCAACACGAGCAGGTGAGCATCCAGCACAGTCGATTCCCGTCGGCGTGTCCCTTGAACATCTTGTGATAGCTTCTATACGTCTAAAACATCAGCATATCGGACATGATTGTTCTAGAGGAGCTGTGGTGAACCAGGAGGATCTGTATGAGGCTTTGGCTGGTGGACAGATCGCTGCAGCCGGACTGGATGTCACGACGCCCGAGCCTCTTCCAACAAACCACCCACTTCTTACACTGAAAAACTGCGGTAAGTAGATTTACCACACGTTGCACTGATCTGTTTTTTATTCCCGAATGTGGCTCTATTTGCAGTCTAAAATAATTTTTTTGTCCCCTCTTTCACCTCGCGCAGTGATATTACCACACATCGGCAGTGCCACTTATTCCACAAGAGGCGTCATGTCGGCTTTGGCAGCCAGAAACCTGCTGGGAGGCTTGCAGGACTCAGAAATTACCAGCGAACTCGTCTTTTGAAAGAAACTGGTGATTCTGTTCCCACTGGTGCTGCACGGAGGATGGAAAACAGTACAGCGTAACAAGAGAAGTAGAAAATAAAACAAAGTACTAAAGTAGTGCACACATGTACTGGAACTAATTTGGGTAACATAAAAAGTTAATTTGATTTTTACATTTAATGCTGTGTTATATTTTTAATCACGAAAGAGCAGTTTGAGGAAGGAAACGACATTTTTCTGTCATTTCGTGGGTTTAGCTTCTTTAAAAAGTGGCTAATGAACAGAGAAGCAGCACTTTTGATCACATTTCAGTCTTTGTAGGAAAAAAGAGCAGATTTTTATTGTAAATTCATACAAAATAGAGCCATTTATTTATCTTTTTACTTGGTTCTATAGGTTGTCAACACTTAAAAATCACAATCAGTGTGACTTAAAAATAAATTAGTCTTCTGTTTTGATCAGCACATTATTTGGTTGTTATTTATTGCTTAAAGTCTGCACTCACTTCGTCGCCAAGCGTTCAAGTTGTATACCAAATAAAAAATATTCATCCAAAAATGATGTACAGATGTGCAAAAACGTGTTTTACAATGAAGTTACCCCTTGATAAAATCTGATTTATAGTCTAATACATTTATTGTTACTTTTTCCACAGAATCAGAATTACAGATTCTGCTTTCAGATTATTGTGTGAACGCTTATGAAGCATTCACACTGTGATCCATTTTTCTTCCGTACGTTTTTCAGCACGATTCTCATCCTGCTGTTTTCATGCTACTTCAACAAATCGTATATCAAAACGTTCAGCTCTTTCAGGACATTCCTATGACTTTTGGTATTGGTACAACTTTATCTTTTTGAAATATTTAGCTTTTTCTGCCATTTCTTTTCCTCAAAGGAAATGAATTGAGCTCATTTTACATTCTTCAAATCTTTAGCTCTGTTTACAACCTTTTCCTGCTCCTTTAACATTTAGTTCCGGTTCAGCTTCCTTATGCAAATTAAAATAAAAGTCTGCTAATTTCAGCTGTTTTGTGCTCCTTTCAGATTCTTTCTGTTAACTACAACATTTTTGTCCTTCTTCTAAATTATTTTCACTAATTTCAGGTTGCTATGCTCCTTTCACCTTTTTTCTGCTAGCTTCAGCTTTTTCTGCTATTTCAGCTACTGTTTAACTGTTTATGCTATTTTTCACTTTTTCAGCTAATTCCACTTTTTTATTTGTAGCTCATTTCAACTTGTTCTGCTTCCTTCTGGTAATATAAGCTTATTCCTGCCTTTTCAGCTATTTCTTGCTAATTTCAACTTTTTTAAGCTAATTTCCTCATTTTTGTGCTCATTTCTGCTTATTTGGGTGCAGCATAATTCATAATTCAGCAAATATGTGTTCGTTCTGCTTTCTTCTGCTAACTTAGGTTTGTTCGTCCATTTCAACTACATTTCATATGTAACTTCAGCTGTTTTTTAGCAAATTATTCAGCAATTAGCATTTTTGCAGAAAATGCAATTTCTCTAGTTTTGAATGCGCTTGCGTTAAGTTATATTTTATTGCCTAAATTTAATAGGATCATAAAATACAAACATGGTTCACTTGGATTTCATGTAAGCATAAAACACAAACATACAAATCTATTTTATGATTTTTTTTTTCTTAAAAATTCGGTAAATTTTTGTCTTTAGTCGAGTTTATTTGCTAGAGCAGAGCGTTGGGGAAAGGCTGGTCCTCTCTCCAGCTCATGCAGCTGTTCTTCGAGTGTTTGTAGAGATGAGAGGACTGGCTGAAGCGTTTGCCACACTTTGGACAGGGATAGGGCTTCTCCCCGGTGTGCACACGGATGTGCTTTTTACAGTCCGTCAAGTTCATGAAAGTCTTGCAGCAGATCTTGCAGGCGTACTTCTTCTCCCCTTCCACCAGCAGCACGTGGTCCTCAGCTGCTGCTTTCTTGCACTTGGACAAAACGTCCTCTGAAGCTCTGGTCAGGGTGGGTCTGTCTGTGGGCTCCGCTGCAGAGGAAGTATCCGTGCCGGCTTCTGAGCCCGGCGATATTTTAGGGGCGATGCGACGAAATGCCGTCGCTCCGGAGCTTTTCGTAGGCCTGGAGGGTTGGACGAGGGAGGCGTCCAGACCTGGTCGGAAGAACCCTGTCAAAGGGTTCTGAGTTGACTGGAGGATGATGGTGTCGCTAAAACCAGAGCTTTGAGTTGGAAGGAGCTGCTGCAAGGGGACCGAGGTTACTGGAAAAACGAGAGATGAGGAGGAATCTGAGCATTGGGTCGAAGACGTGCCCGGTTCTTCTGACTTATCACTCCTTAGACTAACATCTGTAGGAGCATCACTGGCTGTAGCAGCAGCTGTGAGGCTAACCAGGCTGTCTTCTTCTCCCAGAGCCCCCATCACACTTTCACTGCAGGGATTAAGGAAGCAGGAAAAGGTCAGCTCAGAAAGGCTGTCCAGGCCTTCACCATCTACAGCGTCCTCGCCCAAATCTCCAGCTTCTCTCAGCGCAGCTGTGCACACAGAGGCCCTGTGGGTCTCAGCTGTGGCCTTTTTCTCATCGCTCACCTGTGCCTCTAAACTGCCCGCGCAGTCTTGCAGCAAAGGTGGAGGAGAACCGTTTGGCAACGCGTCTAAATCGGATGTAAACGAGCAAAGAGTTTCCTTTTTTATCTCGATCGCGGCCATCGTCGACTCGTCCTGCTCTTCCTCTCCCACTTTTACTTTAACCACGGCGTCTCCATCTTCACCCTTCTTCCAAACCTCTGCTCCTCCCGGGCTGCTGTCTGACTGCGTTGGCAGCTGGATTTCCTCCATCTCTCCCTTGGTCGCTTTGTATTTCTTTTCCTCCTCTTCATGGTCTTGGTTTTCCCAGCTGACGGCCATCTTCATGCAGTCCAGGGATGACGGATCTCCTCCTTCCTCGGTGCTCCTGGTCACAGTCGGTGAATGCTCCTTATAGGCCCCTTCAGGCAGTCTGGAGATTCTCTTCTTGTCATCAAGCCTCTCTTCATTTGATTTTCTCTTCTGTCTCAAAGATTGGGCCGTCTTCCTGTTGCCTCCTTCTTGTCCACCAGACTGACTCACCTCCACTACTACGTCCTCGTTATCTGAGTCCTCCACTGTGACCTGCTGCTTCACTGACCTCCACCCTTTAGGCGCTGAGGTTGGGAAGTTCTTCCTGGACAAGTGGAGCTTGCAAGCCTTGACCACAGTGTTGAGGTGCAGATGGGACGCCGCCAACAACACATCCATCACATTGGAGACCCCCAACGAGAGGGTGGAGGTGTAGATCATGTCCAGCAGGGTGGAGAAGGCCTCTGGGGTTACAACCTCTGGGTCTAGCTCCATCACAATGGGGGCCCCATCTCTATGAGCTCCTGGGCCCTCATCACTGGAGCCGAGGAGAGCCCTGAAGTGAGAACTGCAGGCGGCCAGGATGGAGCCGTGGGCCCTGAAGGTCTGGCCTCCAACCATCACCACACAGTCGCACAGCTGCGCGTGGAGGCGCTGCTGGTTGAGCTGTTTGAAAATGAGCTGGAAATGACCCGGGAAGTCCATCCCAACCGGCGGCGGAGCTGAAAAATCCCACGTTATATTAACAGCTGAACGCCCCACGTCCCCTCTGAGGGCCGCCTACATCCAGCATGGCGTTTTGTTGAGGCAGAGGATGCTCCGGAGGCTGGGCGGGTCTGGACCGACCGAACACGGAGGGATGCGGAAGACGCGTGCTTTGTCTCCAAATAATGAAAGCAAAGCCACCGAGTCCGTGTGTCTGCAAATAATATGAAACCAAGCGTCTTTACAAAATAATAATTATCCCATTGTTGTCGCAGATCCAAATACAAGCGCCCGGTTTGGCATCCATTGTTTCAAATCCGTCAACAACCCGCACTGATGGACAACACCTCCCCCTGGTGGTGAACTCGGGAAAGTACAGCATTTAAATCAAATATTTCAACACCACAATAATAAATAAATAATAATAAAGTATAGCACTTTTATTATGTGTTGTCATCATTGTATGTTCCCATACAAAGACGAAATTGGTTCTCTGCATTTAACCCATCGCACCTGGGATACACCCAGGTGGAGCAGTAGGCATCCATGTAGGCGCCCAGGGAGTAATTTGCGATTAGGTGTCCTGCTCAGAGACACCAAGAGATGTGCAATGACTGGAGGTCGAGCCCAGGACCTTGGGGTCCCGAGTCGGCTGCCCTGCCCCTACATCATCTTGACCCCGTCTAGCATGACTGTCACCTGCCGCCTTCCATGATAGAATTTTAGACTTCAGATCATTTAATGCTGAAAAAACGAGTAGTTGTACTTTTGGGTCAAACCTTGAAATGCTATGATCTCACGTGACATTGCGAGAGGTCATGCTCAGCGTATGGGTTAAGGACCACGCTCAGATACAACCAAGCCAAATTTTAGAGCAATAGCTGATTTATTTGGCATTTGTGTTTTCCAAGGTCAGTCGGCTGTGAAGGTCATCTTACATTGGACTAGTTCCTATCGTAGAGCTACAGTGATTATTTTCTGAACATTTCATTTCAATCCCTCCTGTGGTCCATGATCCATTTTGCTAACAAGTAACTAGTAAACAAATCATACATTATTTGTTTTTTTCATGACTGAAAGAACGAGAACTTGGATACAAGGGGCTGAAATGAGCTTCCTCTGCAGGGTGGCCTAGCTTGGTGTTAGATATAAAGTGAAGATCTCCGTCATCTTGCCCTCGTGACCCAACCATGAATCAGCAGAAATAAATGGATGCATGTTCCTTGTGTAAAGCACCTAAATCATCCGTAGTTGTTACTAGAATGTTACTACTGTTGCAAATAAAATAATACTAAACAAAAATGTGGTTGTAAACAAAAAATGGGACATTTAATTTCAATAATTTCAGAACAATTCTTGACAAACTTCACACCTTTAAACCAGAAAAGTCAACTTTGTTTCCTAAACGGTCTAACTCAGGAGGCAGACACAACAAGTAAAGCCTCTGCATTTTTTTTTTATAATCTGTAAGATTACCAGTATATAAATGTTAAATTAGACAAAACATATGTGACTAAGATGGAGCAACGCTGCAACTGAAGACAGCTGTGGTCTGCGGTGAAGAGAAGGGAAAACGTTGGTCATGTTCCAAAGTGATGCTGCAACAGGTGGAGCTGGCTGCGTCAGAAAGTCCTCCTCGCTGACTCTGATGTAGGAGATTCTTGTTGGAAGGGTGGAGGATGGAGGAGCAGATGGCTCGGCTCATATGCTGTCCAACTTCTTTAACACGTACGGAGCTGTTAACAGAGAAAACGTGAAAGTGATCTGAAAACTTGCTGTTGCAACTCAGTTTTATTTAACGTGTGACGGCTGGTAAAAATATACAATTACTGAAACACAGGAAGTGTCACATAAAAGAGTTCCCTACACTAATATGTTTAAACGTCTTATAATAAGAGTCTGCGTGCATTTAAATACAATTCAGATGAAAACAGGAATAGTTTTCTCCAGTCTGGAGGAAAGTGACTTATAACACTGAAACAATGTCTCTGGGTTATAATTAAAACTAAAGAACGTATTGGTAATTCAGTGTGAATCTTGAAAACATACATAAAGAACATACTTTAAACATGCATTTAATGGCTCTAAGGTGCAAAACCCCAACATAAAATAAAAAAGCTCAGCATTTTAAGGTCAGTACTGCGTTATGAAATATTAAATCATGAAAAGGTAGCTTTGATGTGCATAATTTTAGTCCAGTTTTCCGTTTTGTTTTTGTATTTTACTCGATAGCTTTATGTTTTGCATCTACTAAACTTTAATAAATATATAATTTTTAACTGGATAACTTCTAATTGGCATACTTTATTACAACACCAGATAATTAGTGAATGAATTATCGCGATCATATGAGGAAATTCTGCTCTCTGCTTCATTTTCTCTTGAATTTTGTGTGATTTTGTTGAGCTTTGTCAGATGTTTGAGGATTACTGGTCATCTGTAAGAGTTACAGGACAGCAACCATCTTGAAAAGCTTCAAGGTGATCACCCTTTCTAAATCAATCTTCTTCAGTGGTTGATAGTTTGAGTTGAAACTTATTTTATTGTCTGAATATGAAATGCTCAAGAAGTTGACTAAATATTATTTGTCATTCTGTATCTGTAAGAAGTAAAATCTTAAATAAGCAGAGACAATTAGCTCGTGTTTTACTCACTGGCTCTGAGCAGAGCGACGTAAATCAGAAAGTTACGTAAAGAAGAAATGACGTCTTCTCGCATTTTCTTCTTCATCTCCTCCGGGTCTATTTTAGGTCCGAGTCCTTCCAGTTTAAACATTTTTTTTTACTCCAAAGTGTACACCGTACAAGTGTATTAGGGCTTCACGGCTTCAGGCTGTAGTACAGCGATAGCATGGAAGAAATCTGAACGGAAACACGTAACAACGGAAGTGGCTGTACGTAAGGACGGCGCGCTTCGAGGGACAAACTGTACGAAAGCGCCTTGTGAGAAAAATAAAAACGACAACAAAAAAAAACTGTAATAACCTAAATCAACCACTAAGAGGTGGTTGAAACTAAAATATGTAGAAAATGACATCTTTTACGTTGACTAGTACGTTTGCATGTTTTTCTATAAAAAAAAGAATACAATAAAATACAACGAACAAGTTCGTGTAGGGCAGCACGGTGGCGCAACTGGTAGAGCTGCTGCCTCTCAGAGAGCAGGTCCAGGGGTCTTTCTGGGTGAAGTTTGCATGTTCTCTTCGTGCATGCGTGGGTTTTCTCCGGGTACTCCAGTTTCCTCTCACACACCAAAAACATGCATGTTAGGCTGATTGGTGACTCTAAATTGTCTCTAGGTGTGAGTGAGAG